GACCAAATGTGTGTATAAATGATGTTTTACATGTTCCAGGCAGTTTCTGCAAGCATCTCTGATAAGCTGATCGGGCTGCACGTCTCCACCAACATTCTCCTTCACATTGCTGGCCGCCTTCTCAAAAAACTGTGCCGTAAAAACAAACACGATCAGAGCCATTTAATCACACACAACCCGTCCCAAAATATTTAAGCATGGGTCACTCACCTTCATATATTTTCTGAACACAGCACGGATGTCGTCATTGAAGCTGGGCTGCAGAACGGTCCGCAGAAGATCCATGGAAATGACAGGATCTGTATAACTGCACACAATGACATGTTCAGGCGAACAGCAACGTTTTGAAAGAGCCACAGATGTCTTACAGAATATTAACTTGGGCTAGGCGAAAGTATTTTACCAATGGAAACTAATCTTGAAATACACATTAGCGGACTTACCTAACCGTCATCTGTGAGCGCCGTCCCCTGCGATGCACCTGTCTGTGTTTGATCATGATGTTCCAGGGATTCTGCCATTAAAGTGGATAATGTATTATATTACTGTAGAAACTATACTTTTTATGCAGGATCACATACTGTACATTTTAATATAATGCTCAATTTATAGTTGTAAGTTGCAAGGATGGTTTGACAGACAGTGCAATCATTTAATACTTTGCATTTTGATTTACAGCTCATATACACACACACACACATATATATATATTATATTATATTAATGTTTTAGTGCTTGAGTAGTAAGTACTCTTGAAGAATGAGACTAATTTGTTCTTAAAAATGATACTCAAGCACTTTCTTTTAATTTCTTGTATCATTTTTAAGAACAAATTAGTCTCATTCTTCAAGAGTACTTACTACTCAAGCACTTTCTTTTAATTTCTTGTAAGTACACTTGAAGAATGAGACTAATTTGTTCTTAAAAATGATAAAAGAAAATAAATAAATAATTAGATAAAACTTTCCAGTAATAAGAATCTGGGTGCTTAACTATCATGAAAATGATTTCCAAAAAGCAGGTTTCATTTTCTTTGTGCAAAATACGTGTTCTCTTTTTCTTATGGGAAGAAACATGACCCGGAAATGTTCTTTACAAGTTTCATATTCGGTTATGATGAGAGAATGATGATGATGGCGGTGGTGGTGATGATGATTGACTCACCACTGTCTGTACCTGCTGCTCAGTGAAATCCTGCTGGAGCCATTCCCGGCGTCCCTCGCTCCTGTGGGCCCCCATCACTCACAATCAATGAATATCGACAGAGAAGATACAGGGGTTCTTGATGTTGATCGATAAGTGTTGCACTTCACGGTCTCTGTGACCTGACAGCAACTCAATGCAGTCAGAGAGCTGACGAGCTTATTCACACCCCTTTAAACGTTACTACAAATATGCATTGAGAATAACCGGTTTAACGGCATGCATTTAGACACAATGAAATAGTCAGAAAAGTCACTGTTTGTCAAAGTTCGAGAGCTCGTTGAATTGTCAGTCGCTTCCTCAAGCTCAACAATACAGTGACGTAAAAAAGAATGTAATCGACTATCGCACTTTCTGTCACGGATTTCAAAATAAAAGTCTGAGTTCTGCAGTGCGCATGCGCATCCCGATCATGGGCGTGGTCACACTTCAGGTTCGCTTACACGGACCGAGCGGCCATCATTGTTGTGGCACGGAAGCTACACGTTCAGATAAATATTTTCTCTACAAATGTTACATTTCAAATGTAAAACTGTGTTCTCAATACAAAGCCATACTTTCATGATTTGCTATCGGTGTGTATTTCATACAAACTTTTCCATAAGTAATACCATGGTACTTTTTTGTTCAGCAATTTGCATCAGCAAATTTCAAGCTGAAGACACTTGTGTGAGCACCAGCCAAGACAAAGTATGTACAATAAATATTATAACAAAATGCCAGAGATAGGTTTATGATTTCAATATTTTACTGAGAGCTTTTCTGATTCAGAGGAAAATCTTTATACCACTTTAGGTGATGGGAAATGCCACAACACTGATAATATACAGGTAGAAGAAACAAATTATATAAGCACAGACATATTTACATTCACTGAATCTTTGTCTTTATCAGAATAAGATTACAGGGGAGACATTCATGGCATTTTAGAGGACATTGAATCAACAAACGCAATGGCGACCAAATATAAATCAATCAACATGACTGATAAATGCAAATCGTTTAAAAGCCTAGTGTGGCAAAGCGTACAACTAACTAAACAATATAGATTTGTACAATTTATATATTGTTTTTTTTTTGTAAAGCAAAATATCAGGTCATGCACAATAAAAACCTAAACACACTTTTTGTAAGAAAACAAAGAACAAAAAGAGAATTATAAAAATAAAGTTATGGATAAATGGATGTTTTTGCTGGTTACACTTTATGCATTACTGATGCAATCGTACACGGTTCTACTTTAAAGATACAAGATAAATTCCTCCTTTTTTTTAATAACACTTTGGTTTAGTTTAAAACAACTATTTCATAAATTCTATAATTCATAAACAGTTTAGAACCAAAAAGTTAAATAATAAAAAAAACCATGGTGAAAAAGACATCTTTTGTGTTCTTTTCAAATAGACTCACAACAGCCGTGTGGGAAAACAACAAACTTCATACCCATGTTCTGTACAACATCTACAGATTTGCTGGTGATCCACTCTGGGATTAGGAAATCCAACAAGTGCCCGATGCTCAATGTGATGTTATGTTGGATTTTAAAAATGGCAAACTGGGTTACATTACGCGTCAAACCACTGGAATGCTTTTAAACCTAATATAAAAGCCATTTCCCAAGTTTGGCTACAAGACAATGTAGTCCAGTGAAAAAAACAAACCTATACTTACTTACAGATGGAAGTGATTGGGTTTAATAAAGTGATAGTATACAATACGAATTACTACATGCGTATTAACATGGCAAAAAAACAAAAACAAAAAAAACACCATTGTAGTGTTAATAATCGCAATATTTAAAGTCCAATTGTAGCAACAATTTCGATCAATAACTTCTCTTTTCCTTTTTTAAAATGTACATTCAAAACGCTGCCCAGTGATACAATTTAAACTCAATATTATGTAAACAAATTTCTATGATTAGAAGAAAAGAGTCAACTTTTAAAGCACTTTTCACATACACGAAACAGTGAAATCAAGGCAATAGCAACCAATTCGAATAACCGGACGCCGATGCATTTATTAGAGGAAGAATAAGCCTTGTTTGCTTTTCTTTGTTCGAGTTTCCAGGTATCGGTGCTCTCAATTATAAAACACCCGAAATGAGAGGTAGACTCACCGGAGAAAAACGAGGGGCGTACGCCATATTTAGGAGCTAAATGATTTTTCAATAAAACCACAAACCGTTGGAATAATGCTTTCATAACTGATAAGAAATTTTCTTTTTCCACTCGCTAAATGCTACAATTGATGTGACCCGGAATGCCACAATAGGACTTAAGGTTCACAAAGGCTTGTACTGTACAGAAAAGAAGAGCGCAATAAAGGTACAAAAAACTATTTTTTAGATTTGCTATTGTGTTCTGTACAATATTTTAGGAATAAAAGAAAACGGACTGGATTTAACTGCAGATGGATGACTACTTTTCTGCTTGTTTACTGATCTTTTGTTATCACACACAATATATATTCTATCATGAAGAAACCAAACATAACCACTCAACTTGGAAAGGAACGCCTATGAATTCCTATGAATTAGGAAAACAAATGGGTGTAACAGGAGCCAACTATTGATCTGAGAAGCATGATGTCATGATGAAGGCTTTTAAACATAGCTGCCTGATCGCCGATCGTCTTCTGACACAGAATTATCTAAAAAGAACAACAGACAAACATCGGTGCCTCAACTCTATGACAGCTTCATATTCCTGCCAGTGAGAAAAGCACAAAGTTAAAGCGTGAATGTCACAAAGCCTGTCATATTTCACTCCAAAAGTAGCAGAAAGAATTGTTATTTTGTTTGGAAAATGAAGCCTATTTGAGGACGATTTTTTTTTTTTTTTGCATTGTTACAATATTTCTATATATTATAATGCAAAAAAAAAAAAAAAAAAAGTATGCAGAATGTATTTCAGTAAAGATACCCCAATGCGAATACATGCCGTTGTGTTTAAATCAATTTAGGCTGATTTTAGTTTTTTAAATAGCATTGTAACAGTAACCTTTAAACTGTAATAATACAGTAAATAATAACTGTATAATGAATGAAAATAATGTTACTAAGGTTTAAACACCATTGAGAATGAGAACTACAAAAACTGAAAATTTATGAAAAAAAAAAGCTTCATTTTCTTTATGCAAATTTTTTTCCTTTTGATCTTGGTGTGAAATATGACATGGTTTAATGAGACGCACCCAAAAAGGCCAACAACAAAAAAAGAAAGAATATGATATGCTTGACTACATTTACCATCTCAAAAAAAAAAAAAAAAAAAAAAAAAGACAACAAAAAAGGTGACCAAACTATCTATAGACTGATAAAAAAATCTCAACCATTATGAGACTCAAACCCCTAAAACAAATAATATTAAATAATAGATGCGGAAGAAAGTAAACAGACATGAGTCTTCTTCTCACGTGAACACCCAAACCCAATATTATACCTCTCATATAATCACAGACTCTTTCCCATGAACATACATACAGGTGTCCACACGCCCAGCGCCGTGTCTAAATGTTTGTTGTGTCCGGTGCAGTCTTGTCAACAGGACTGCTGTTGTCTTGACTCCTAGGGGTTCGTTCCTGGGCCGGTTTGGAGTCTTTATCTCCGGTACTGGTTGAAGAGGGACCAGGTGAGGGCAACGAACGCCCGGAGATCTTATACGCCCCCAGGAGCTCCTGGATTCTCTCTGTAGTGGGCTCCCATTTGGCAAAGCCAGCATTGTTTTGGAGGAAAATGACTGCTGTTCCATGGACGGCCTTGTAGTACATCTCTTCTCTGAGAGACACAAAGTCAAGAGCGCAAACCACAAGTTAAACCATGTTTCGTGCAGTAAACAAGCAATGAAACACCACTAGAACAAGGAAATAGACAAAACATTGGGGTGGGCGATGGGACCAAAATCTAAGAAATCTTACATCTGAGAAATTTTATTACACGTTAATGATATACATCACGATATTATGGAAGCTTGTTTTTGGCACGTAATAAAAAATAAAAAATGTAATTGCAATTTTTTATCTCACAATTGTGACTTTTCTCTCATAATTGCCAGTTTATATCTTACAATTCTGAGAAAACTATATAAATTCAACAGTAGTGAAAAAATAAAATAAAAAAGTCAGAATTGTGACATTTGCCCCTTTCACACATAGTATTTACTGGAAAATTACCATTAAAAGATCATGTGTGAACAGGACCTTTTAAAAATACCAGTAAATTGGTTCTGGCAATTTAGCAGTATGAGAAGTTAAAACATTACCAGTAAATTATGATATGATGCTGTGCGTGACCTATAATAAAAAGGTTTATTAGGCTGCTGTTACTTTAACTAAACCAACTTTTTTTAGTTAATGATCTGTAAGAATGGGGCTTTATTAGTGCTGATCATTGATTCGAGTAACTTTTTTGACATTTGGGTATAAAGTGTTTTAATTCTACAATATATGGTGTAAAAAAACATCTGAGTGCTGCCCTCTTCAGTTTGAACGGTGGCTCCTGCAGTTGAATTTTCCTATTGGATGTTTGCGGTGCTTCGTGATGTAAGCGGTGAGAGCTGAGTAAGCAGGTTCCAGCTCACCACGCCCTTGGCAGTATAAAAACCATCTTGTTTCGTCAAAACCACTGCGAGTCAAGAGTTGGAATTACGAGTATTGAAAACGATCAGGATAGAGTATTTTAGCATCCATTTAGCATAGCATTTATATAGTTATTTAGATTATTTTGTGTAGCCTAGTTAGTTAGTTAGTAGCATAGTACAGTTAGGATAGCTTCAAGTTAGCGTAGATTTATCTGTATTTAGTACAGTGGTCAGGATGGTAACGGAGTAGAGGTGGACATGGGCTTCTCCACACAGCTCACGGAGTGCCAAACACTGCTCCTCCTGCATGGACTCCACCACCGCTGCGGCGTCATGATGTGAGTGAGCATGTATATTTTAATCACAATTTATGGTTATGCTAAAGTTAATCCTCTGGGGTCGACAAACGCGCCGGCGCATTTTGCTGGATTTTTTCACATAGCGGCAAAATATCAATATGAATATATGCCTACAGAGAACGCGCGCTATTGACAAACTCGACAAAACTCATCAGATGCCGATCGCGACGCGGGAGTTAAGACCGCAGTTTGAGCCAGCGGCTCGAATTGATATGGCCCTGTGTCCACAGACAATTCACCCTCCTCCACTTCAGGTGAAGGTGGGGGAGAAAAGTCCTCGACTTCAAATTACCGCTCTGCTGCAAAGCTACTTGCGTCACTCCAGTCACTCCATTTTAGAGTCTGACAGCATCTGTCACTGCGGGTCTCAGGTGCACGCCCCCCCCGCTCAGCCCCGCCCTCGGTTCGTCCCCTCTATCTCCTCTGGGGTCTGCCCATTTTTTCAACATTTTTCAAATATTGCCAGTGGGTGGAGTCAGGCTCTGACCAGGGGTTTAGTTACCCTTTAAGAGCGAATACACGAATCTAATATACAGACACGTTTATATCGTCGTCGCCATGATATACAACTTCACACGGCCCAGCCCTACCAACAAATGTCTGACCTTTTGCAGATGTGCTGCGAGCCGCTGCGGTACTCGTGCTCGAAGGGGGGCACGATCATCTGGTGCCTTCGGAAGCGACTGGACTCCATCCGTGTCAGCGCAGGGGTCGGCGGGTCACGCCACTCTGGCACAAAGATGATGAAGGACAGTGGCTCGCTGGAGCGTTCCAGAAGATCCTGAGAAAGATGAAGACAATGAGAATCAGAATGGGACATTTTATATGACGATATTCCAAGCTAATGAATTTGGGGGCGAGACTAAGAGTCACACACCTCAAAGCGTGTCACCATGTTGTCCATGAGTTCCTCACAGAACGGAGGGTTTGCCTCAAATGAGCCACTGGCCGGAGAGAAGCTGAAAAACGGCCTGTGAGGACAGACATGAGGAAACGGTAAAGCAAGTTACGCTTGCTTTTATATAACGGCAATAACAGATTAATTATAATTTGATTACATTCGTGACATACATATATACAGTGTTGGGAAAGTTCACTTTCTACATTAACTAGTTCAAAGTTCAGTTCACAAATTTAAAAATTAACTAGTTCAATTTTCACAATTTTGAACTAAGTTTGCACAGAAGATTTTGTGTAAGATTTTCCCCATCCTCACGACCTTGTCATAAAACTAATTTTAATGATCATAGGACGCCTTGTCGACTACATGCTGCTTTTTGTTTTGATGACGCATGCGGCGGTGCGACACTAGTGGCTGGTGTTGCCAGATTGGGTGTTTTTTTCGCTACATATTAAGGCCTGTTTATGGTGTGTTTTAGTCAGGTTTTCGCCTGGAAGGCTCTATAGAAATCTGGCACCCTATTAAACGAAGTTAAACTGAGTGAGCGTGCGTTCACAGACACCAGAATGAACGAGTTCACAGTAACGTTCATCAGGCAGTAATACAGTACGTTTAGTTCACGTTCGCCCAAAATATGAACGAGTTCATGAATGCGTTCAGGCACAACACTGCATATATACAGTGGTGTGAATAAGTTATTACCCCCATGCTAAAGTTGCCTAAAAAGAGGAATAAAAAATCATCTTTTGGAAATTGATCTTAATGCCTTAATTAGAAAAATGAGGAAAAATCCAACCTTTAAGGACACCAATTTTCTTTGTGTATGAATAATGTATCATAAATAAATAAATGTTCTTCCTTAAAATACAGGGTGCATAAGTCAGGCCCCCCCTATGTTAAATTCCCATAGAGTCAGGCAGATTTTTATTTTTAAAGGCCAGTTATTTCATGGATCCAGGATAATATGCATCCTGATAAAGTTCCCTTGGCCTTTGGAATTAAAATATCCCACATCATCACATTCCCTTCACCATACCTAGAGATTGGCATGGTGTTATTTCAGTTAGCCTAATAGCTGGTTTGATTTGCATTGAAAGATGATCTTATGGAAAGTACCCCATGCCAATCTCTAGGTATGGCAGGGCTCGAAATTGCGACCATTTTGGTCGCATATGCTCCTGAAATTTTATCTGTGCGACCTAAAAATATATTTGGAAACATCTGTGCGAGTGCAAATAATGGTTGTGGTGCGACCTGTTTTTATTTCTCTACAAAACGTTCGCAAATTACTGCTCAGTGTGTACCTTATGTGCACTGATACGCGGTGGCCGGACCATCATTCTATCCAACGATTACATCCAATCAAACTTCATCCTTACGTTCCTAACTTTAAAGCAGATTTTAAATAGGTTAATATTAGCTGTCAATCACTCCCATTCACTTACGCTGCGCTCCGTTGTCACGTGACAGGGAGCTGACTACCGCGCGACTAAAAGGCTGAATAAGAGAAGATGAAACAAGGTTTTTCCTGCATTGAATTTTTTTTGGCGACCGCCAAAGCCTTATTTGATCGGTGAGTGATAGATGACTGACTGCTGCGCTTGTGACAGGGCTCATATTACTGAAAGAACGAGCATAGAGAGAGAGAGAGAGAGAGAGAGAGAGAGAGAGAGAGAGAGAGAGAGAGAGAGAGAGAGAGAGAGACGGTCGCGCGCGCGCACTCTCACAGTCTTCAAACAGTCTTGCTCTCCCTCCCTCACGCATATTAATCGAAATCGAGAATTGACACGATGGTAAAAGGTAAGAAGACCGAAGTTTCACGTGAAGCATTCGGAGATTTTTCTCCTGAATTACCCCAGGGTGTGAATTGTGCAACAAAAAAAAAGCGTTCCGCACATTCAGCTGACATAAACCTCAATTTCAATAAACAAAACAAACTATCCAGTGATGAAATGTTTTCTGTGTTGACACAAATCTTGTGCGATGTCCTAAACTGCTGGGATAATCACACAACAATGCGTACCGTAGCCTACACGTCCGCTAATGACACGTGCGATTCGCGAACTAATGACTCCTTTGAACTGATTCCATTTAATGAATGGTTAAAACAACTGATCTGTCCAACACTGAACTCACGAGACGTCTGGCATCGGTGTATAACAAATCGGTAACACTTTACAATAAAGTTAAATTTATTAAACTCTAGTTAACTACATTAGTTAACATTAACTATTAATAAACTGCATTTCTACAGCATTTATTAATCTTTGTTAATGCTAATTTAATCATTAATAGTAGCCTTATTGAAATCAAAAGATGATGTGTTAACATAGTTAGCCTAATGCACTGTGAAGTAACATGAACAAACAATGAACAGTTGTATTTTTTATTAACTAAGATTAACAAAGATTCATAAATACAGTAACAAATGTATTGCTCATGGTTCATGTTAGTTAGCCTAATGCATTAACTAATGTTAACCAATCAAACCACATTTACTCAGAACACCTCTTAAAATGAGAATGTAAGTGTGCTTACCCCATTTATTTTTAGTAAGAGTGGTTAGGAAGATTTAACCTTAATAAACTACAGTATTCAGGTTATTTATATGACAATGTGAAGAAAGCTTACCAAAAAACCCAAAACTTTTAGTTTAGACTGGAGTGAGGTGAAACCAGAAACAAAAAGTGCAAATCAAGTTGTTGTTAGCTAGCTGCTAATTGTATTCAATTGTATATGGTAGAATATTAGTTAAAATAAACTTTTTAATGCTACTTTATTATTGTAGTTTTTGATATTGATATGATGATATACCAAAATGATGATTAGGTTTAGCAAAGAAGGATTTTATCTTACAAAGCTATGAAATAGGCCTACAGTGGTAAAATCACAGCTTTAATAAAAAAATAAAAAAAAACAGGGCAAGAAAGGATGACAATGTCCATCGGCCACCACCGAAAACCAATAAATTTTAAGCGCAAGAGCTTGGTTAAACAAGGAGAGAGTGCCAAGCACAAAAAAATGCAGGGACAAGTGTGTGGAAAACAAATCAGGTTCGATTATTAAGGCTTTTAATCATCAGAATGCTGCCGGTCGTTCCGCTCTTCTGGCAGAGCTAAAAGTCAAATTTGGTGGGTGCTCCTAAATTTTTGCTGGTGCTCCTAACTTTTTGAAGTTGGGAGCACCAGTGCTACCAGGTAAAAAAGTTAATTTCGAGCCCTGTATGGTGAAGGGAATGTGATGATGTGGGTCTATTTTAATTCCAAAGGCCAAGGGAACTTTATCAGGATGCATATTATCCTGGATCCATGAAATAACTGGCCTTTAAAACTAAAAATCTGCCTGACTCTATGGGAATTTAACATAGGGGGGGGCTGACTTATGCACCCTGTATTTTAAGGAAGAACATTTATTTATTTATGATACATTATTCATACACAAAGAAAATTGGTGTCCTTAAAGGTTGGATTTTTCCTCATTTTTCTAATTAAGGCATTAAGATCAATTTCCAAAAGATGATTTTTTATTCCTCTTTTTAGGCAACTTTAGCATGGGGGTAATAACTTATTCACACCACTGTATATATATATATATATATATGTGCATGTGTGTTTGTGTACACATTTACCATGACATGTACATGGTAAAATATACACGAGTCATGACAGCAAAGCAATGTATTACTATGATCCTCAAAATCTGTTGAAATGTCACTTTTCATTGTGTGACAATCAAGAACTCATTTACATACCCTCGAGATCCAAAGAAGCCGTCAATGTCTGGAAACGCGGAGCAGAACTGCTTGAAATAGCAGTTCAGTGGAGAAGCGAAGCACTCAAATGTCACTCCAAACTTTTTGTTGAGAGCCTCAAAGACGGGGACAGGCAGCGCCCCTTGCAGGCCAGACCCCTCGTTCACACCAGAGCCAAACATCACCTGTAATTCACAAGAGGGTGGAAACACACATTGATGCCGCATTTGCTTTCCTGATTGCTTACCAATACTTGTAAATTCGAGTCTTACCTGGTATCTTTTGATAAGGCACCACACACGAGACAAGAACTTTTCAAACCTTGGGTCATCTATACAGCTGTATCGATAAAGGAGTTCCTGTTTATGCCAGAGAAAGAAATGCAACAAAATAAGAATCCAATTAAGTGTAAGTTTCTGGTTTTAATTGGTTTTGAGCTTGTGTTAGCATGTACACACCAATTTGTTAAAATGACCACGGTTGACCTTCACCATTTCCCCTTTATACCGCAGACAAGAGAAGTCATTCTCGAAGTGCAGCTCGACACGTGGCTGAGGAGGAGACGGGATGGACAGTCTGACTGGATAACAATACACCAGCCGGTCCTGAACCTCCGTCGACTCGGTGACGTCCACTTTAAAGCAAGAAGAGTAGTTCAGAGGGGCTTTAAACGAAGTCAAACCAAGAGCGAATATTGGCACCAGGGCCAAAAATTCAAACTTTTTTTGGAGTTGGTCGATTTTTGTCTAACAATGAAACTCTCACTGACCATTTTCCAGATTCATGGATATCTCCATCTCCTACCTGTATTTGACTGATTTTATTTAAATTAATTGCCATAACAGTTTCATAGGTTAATACACGGCTGATTCAAATTCAACATCATAAGAAGTGCTATTGTAAAACTGGAGAAACTGGAAGAGAGAGCTACTCTCTGAGAAAAAGGAAATTAACATTTGAACTCTCTCTTATGAAGTTCTCACCACCATTCGAGACGCAAGTCTCACCTAAGCAATCCTAATCTACATCTTTTTCCCTTGACCCCCTAGCCTGGTAATACCAAACTCTGCTACTTCGCTTTGCTTCGTAGACAGAGTCTGGAATGGCATAATTGAAAAGTGTTTTCTTTCTCACGGGGGCGCTTGTCTGAAGTATAAATCATTGGTTACCCGTAAGCCAATCACATAACGCAATGACCTCTCTCTCCAACTTAAACATCACCTCCATTCAAAATGTTTAACAAGCACTCTTCTTGTTCGGGCTTCAGTTTGCAAATGCCGGGAATATTCTCCACAACAGAGCGAATTGCATCCCGTGTCTCCATATCCGCGGTCGTTTTCCATTTTCCTAACCTAAAATACAATCTTAAACTCGGCACTTAGCGTCTACGTCACGGCTCTCAGCCCGCCCTCTGTTCGTTGATTGGCCGGCTGTTTTCAGGCCGGAGGAAAACTGAGAGATAGGTCGCTATCTCAGACTGAGTACAGAACCGAACTGAAATTGAGCGGAAGTACGAAGTCTGACGTAGTCAGGCTATTGACCCCCCATTCCCCAGTTCCCTCTTTCTATCATGCTGAGAACACCTGAAATTCCCCCAAAAAATCTATATGGTTTAATGTGAATAATTATCATACAGTATTACACATGTTTGGTATCATTTGAAATGTATCAGTGCGACTGGTACAAAGGTCTCATTCCCAAAGAAGTAAAACAAAAGGTAATTAAGTTTTTAAGAGTTTAGAGATAACTTGCAAACAAAGGAGGGTGGGTCTTCCAGGCAAATGGCCTCCTGCTCTCAAAAGGTGTGACCTCTGAATGCAAATTCGCATTGTTAGCAGATGTTTCCATGTGAAAGAGGTTTGTCGTCTATATAATGAAATGCAACAAGAGTCTCGGCGTGATTTTGTAACTCAGACCAGTAAGTGTAAGCAAAACACTTCACATCATGTATTTTATAATGTCAAGGTATTGCATCTTCTCTCTTTACTCCAGAGCATTTGATGTTTTGTATCTATTATCTATGAACTGATTATAAAGTTGGCATGATACATTTACCTGACATAATAAATGGTAAACATTTGATTTTATTCTAATCGACTCTGACATTATTTTCAGTAAAGAGTTAAAAAGAATAGTCAAAGATTCGCTGACATTTAATGATGCACAGATATCATTAAAACCTTTTCATTTATGGAGTCAGATGAAATAACGAGTTAATACATGAAAACATTTATTTCATTTAATTAATTTACTTTGCCACACGGAAAGACAGTAACACGCAGAGAGCTTCACCCGCTGATCGAATGCCGCCGTTGGATCGATTGAGCCGGGCTTACACTATTTAAAAAAATCAACTTAGAAGAAAAACAGACTAAAGGTGATGATACACAGGGCAACATTTTGAGCAATGTTCCCGGGCAATGTTGCCGTCAACGGGCAACTAGATGAGACACAGGGCCCACGACCGATCTAAATCATCCAGATAGAAATGTATTGCCCATTTTCAATGGGAAAGTGCCCTAGCAACAATCACTCGGCAAGATTGCCCAGCAACATTGCTCAAAAAGTTGCCCTGTGTATCATCACCTTAAGAGACTAAACTGTTTTGTATTTACAAATATATAGAAGATTCTTTAAACTAACAATGATTAGTTGCATTTATTTAACATTAACAAAGAACAATAACTTCTGTAACAAATGCAGCTATTGCTCATTCATTGTTAATGTTAAGGCATTAACTAATGTTCACTTAATTGGACCTTATTGTAGTGTTACCTATTGTTCTTTATAATTCTTTTGCACTTTAATCCGTTTGAAACATTTGTTTACTTTATACATTTTTATTTATTATTTGATTCTATTTAAATGTTCAGAGTTCTTTTTGTTGTAAGAAAAAAGTTATTAAACCTGTTATAGCATGACAACACCTTTTTTTTTGCAACTTATTTCAATGATATTATTACAATCATATTGAAATAATACTGTATACCATGATAAATGCTTCAGCAATTATCGTAACACGAAAATTTGACCCTACAGTACAGTACTAGAGTGAATAGGAAAAAATTAATAATGGAACATAATAGATTTTTTTTTTTACTCATTTATAATGTTAATGTGTCACAGTATAAATTGGGTCTTTATATATGAAAAAATATATCTGCCTTTTAAATGTTAGAACACATCTTTTTCCCACCACAGGATTTATTTCAAATAATTTGTTATTCTTTGCATTCTGCTTGCCATTTCCATCTCCTACCTGAGATGTTGCACTCTTTAAGTAGAGTGTGGTGAGCCTGGCGGATCCTGCGCACATATTCTGCAGAAATGTGATAGATCTTTGAACAGATGCCCTCAACAGAGTCCTTCGCCACAGCCGCCACGTGAGGGCCGCACTGCTTCCGTAAGTGCTCGAGCCGATCCTGAGGAATGATCCATTACAGTCATACACATGTACGCCTTAAAATGCTGTCTAGGTGGGCAGCTCTGAACAAAACTGAGATTGTACCATGTAGTCCTCCTTGCTGGCAGAATGGTCTCGTCTCAGCCAGTTCATCGTGTCCTCGACGTTCCACTTCACCACCTTCCGACTGTCAGGAGTTGCATTTCTGTGCAAACATGAAATATACTTTCATGCAACGTTCATGTTAGTCTCAAAACCTTAGCAACCAACATGAATAATTACCTGGAGTCAATCATTTTCTTGGCCGCCTCTGCATATTTAAACAGGAGTTTCCTGGCCTCTTCCTTGTATTTGATGCGAGAGAGCCTAACATTGTTGGGAGGCAAGTTAGAAAATTATAAAAGCATTTCCATACTGAAATATGCAACACAGAAACAAAAAGGAACTTGGTTATTTGATGAACAGTGATGTTTTAGTACCTGATGGGGATGTCGTTCATGATCTCTCTGAACATAGACGTGGAAATGATCGGGTCGCACTCGCTGGGTAAGAGTGGATCCGGCCCTTTATCCAACACCTTTCTCTCCAAAAGCCAGCGGTTGAAGGATTCCCGCGGAGGCTCTATGCCTAAAAAGTTAGTCAATCTCAAATTATTTCTAAATAATAATCTCTAAATTACAACTACACAATTCAAAAGTTCAGGGTCAGAAGGACTTTTGAATGCGTTGAAAGCAGTCTCTTCTGCTCATTAATGCTGCATTTATTTACTCATCAAAATTACAATAATAATGTGAAATAGTATTACAATTAATAACCGTTTTCTATTTGAATATACAAAGCTGAATTTTTAGCATCATTCCTCAAGTCTTCAGTGTCACATGATCCTTCAGAAATCATTCTAATATGCTGATTTGATGCTCAAGAAACATTTATGATTATTATCAATGTTGAAAACAGTTGTGTGCTTCGTATTTTTGTGATAAATTTCAGGATTCTTTGATAAATAGAAAGAAAATATCAATTTCTACTTTTGATCAATTTAATGCATCCATGCTGAATAAAAGTATTAATTTCTTTAAACAAACAACAACATTCTACTGACACCAGTATATAAAGTTTATAAACTAGTAACAAATATTTATGGAGCTCATCCTCTTCAGCCAAATGTTTTATAAGATTCAAACTTTGAGACGGCTGCAGTTTCAATATTACTTTCCATCCGGTAGCTTTGCAACGCATTCATAAAGAGTAGTTAACATTTACTCAGAATAAAATGGGCTGTGAATATGGAGGTGGGTGACATGACAAAAACACTACAATGCTGATTTTGCTACACTGGTATTAAAGGATTAGTTCACTTTTAAAAAAACTTTTGCTGATAATTTACTCACCCCCATGTCATCCAAGATGTCCATGTCTTTCTTTCTTCAGTCGAAAATAAATTAAGGTTTTTGATGAAAACATTCCAGGATTTTTCTCCATATAATGGACTTCCATGGGAACCAGACGGTTCAAGGTCCAAAAGACAGTTTCAGTGCAGCTTCAAAGGGCTTTAAACGACACCAGACGATGAATAAGGGTCTTATCTAGCGAAACGATCGGCCATTTGTCAAAATGAACAAATCTTTTTTCGAGTCATTTCGTTCATTCAACTAACGAAATGAACGAAATGACTCGAAAAAAGATTCGTTCATTTTGATGAACGAGTTCGAGCAGGAGAGTCACGAACGTGTATCATTTGTGCTTTTTAAACTTCAACTTTTCTATTTATTTTTGAAATGGCCGATCGTTTCGCTAGATAAGACCCTTATTCATCGTCTGGTATCTTTTAAAGCCCTTTGAAGCTGCACTGAAACTGTCTTTTGGACCTTGAACCGTCTGGTTCCCATGGAAGTCCATTATATGGAGAAAAATCCTGGAATGTTTTCATCAAAAACCTTAATTTCTTTTCGACTGAAGAAAGAAAGACATGGACATCTTGGATGACATGGGGGTGAGTAAATTATCAGCAAAAGTTTTTTTAAAAGTGAACTACTCCTTTAATATGTATAATCTCTCATATGAAGAATGTAAAGCTTTTTTTTAATGGGGACATATTTAGTAAAACACGACAGCTGCGTCTCACACACCCTCGCGCTGAGAGCACAGCTCGTGGTAGTGCTGCCGCAGTTTGGTGGTGAGTTGCGCTCTCTGCAACTCGATCTCCGGGTGTGGAGGGAGGTGGTTCACAGGGGCTCGCTCTCGGATCACAGCGTTGGTCTGAATGTCCAGGTCCCAGTACACTCTGAAACACAAAGTCCAGTTCAGACATGTCAAGGCGCAGAGTCGTATCGTGTCAACAGAGCTCAACAGCTGAAAGAGCTTACTATGAACTCTAAAATAACTAGAAAATCAAAGTCATGTGTCTAACCAATAGAGCTGCACCGTTAATTGTTATATGGGCGCAATCTCGATTCAAACACACAAGCGTTCTTAAACGAAAACGATTCCTGTGTCTATTAAAACTTCTGACAAGTACGATCACAGTGAACATTCAGATCTGTGTTGGTGTTGCCGCTGATCCAGAGAGAGCAGTTGTCTTTTATATGAAACAGCTTCACATTGCTAAGCTACGTAATATGCTATCAGTTTCTGATGCAGAAAAGTTAGTTCATGCATTCATGACCTCGAGACTAGATTACTGTAATGCTTTATTAGCTGGTTGTCCTGCATCTTCAATAAACAAGCTACAGTTAGTGCAAAAAGAGTTCTTACTAGATCAAGAAAATATGATCATATAACACCGATTCTATCATCACTTTATTGGTTACCTATAAAGTTCTGTATTAATTACAAGGTATTGCTTTTGACTTATAAAGCTCTGAATGGTTTAGCTCCAGTCTATTTAACGGATCTTCTATCGCCCTATAATCCATCGCGCTCTTTAAGTTCACTAAATTTTAGGCTTCTGGTCATTCCTAGGATATCCAGATCCACCAAAGGAGGAAGAGCATTTTCACATTTAGCTCCGAAGCTCTGGAATAGCCTTCCTGATATTGTTCGTTGCTCAGACTCGTTCTCCCAGTTTAAAACTAGACTAAAGACGCATCTATTTAGCCAGGCATTCATATACATTTTTTATCTTACAGTTACTGTAAATTCGGCCTCTACTTCATAAACGCCAGAGGAGAACTGGCCCCGACTGAGCCTGGGTTCTCCCAAGGTTTTATTTTCTCCATTGGGTCATCTGATGGAGTTTGAGGACACCATCGGGTCACTTGATGGAGTTTTTCGGTTCCATTGCACTGTTGCCTTTGGCTTGCTCAGTTGGGGATATTCAAATTAAATGACCCATCATACCACTGATCAGCTCTACCAAACTTGGATGTCTTTTCCAGTAATAAACAAACACTGTTAAGTTGTTTTGATTGATACTGTGAAGCAGCTTTGATACAATCTGTATTGTGAAAAGCGCTATATAAATATATTTGACTTGACTTCACAAACAGTCTTTTCAAACGCACAGTATCATTATTTCTGTTACAATACTTCAAATTACTACACAAGTACTGGAATAAAAGTATATACAGTTCGGATATAAACACTGATGTCTACGGCAGTGATCAAAATAGAGTAAATCAGTCAAATCTGTCGGTTAGTTACGTGCATCCGGTCAGTTACGTGCATCCGGTCACGTTTAAACTGCTCTGTCAATCATCTCGTCACAGTTAAAATCCTCCACATTTAATTTAATTTAATTTCCTACCGTTTCTGAGAGAAATGTAGTAGCATGTTGATCTGCCAGTCGGGGGGTTTTCATGCGGAGACTCTCCTCATGTGTTTGCAATTTGCATAATGATGCATTTAAAACTTAATGACCAAATGTATCATTACAAAAGTTCACAATGCTGTTGCAGATGAAATATAATGTGGATAACATTGAATAAATATATTTTCGTCAGGTTAGATAAATACCGATAATTAATCACTCCAACCACCTTATCTAAACCTCTCGGAGTCGCGAATCCGCCATGTTTGTAGTTTTTTTTACACTTTTTATTAGCGTTTGTAGTTCTAATCGACTCCTCGTCCAACGCGCAATGTGTTGTGGGCAATATTAGCCGCTAGAGTGTGCATGGATCTGAAGTAGACCATCCGGGTATCTTTGGAAGAATCATTTCAACATACTATGATTTGGGACACACTAATTATAATTTCGAATACTATTTAGGACGGATAGTATGCTAATTGGGATGCAGCAACTGATTCATCCAGTAATAAAACAAGTGAAGTCTTAATAAGTCATTGAATCATTCAATCAAACTGCTAAAAAAAAAAAAAATAAAAAAAAATAATTCCACATTAAATATTTTTAAATAGACTGCAGCAATTAACATTTTGTCAGAACCTCTAGTAAATTAATTACATGCTATTTTGTTAAGGGGAGAATCGTGATGATCTCTATTTTTATATATATAAAAAAAATAGTGATTCTCAATTTACCCAGAATCGTGCAGCTCTACTAACCAAGTTGTGTTTCAAATTTGAAGTTGTTTTCACACAAATTTTACACATTAAAAGGATTTAAAGTACTGTTTCCATTGTTACACAATGCCCGATTTAAATAGTTTTCACAGGATGAATTTTGAGTGTTCAAGCTTTCGAATGGTACCTAATTTATGATGATTACTAAAATATGTGATAGGAAAAAAGGCAATATATAAAAGCATGCCAATGGGCCAGCTTCCAGGACAAAAAGGGATAGTTCACCCAAAAATCCCTTTAACAGGTTAAAGCAGACGCTTTCAGCCAAAGTGACTGTAACATTGCAAGAATGGGCCGAATTGGAAAAGATGAACTCCACACTCACACAGAGGGCCGGTACGGAGCCGGCGCGGGAACGCTGGCCTGGCTTTGTTTATCATCTGTGGCGTTGGCCCAGGGTTTGACTCCGGGCGTGCTGGGAGAAATGGGGACAGTGGGAGTGGTTGGAGTGACAGGAATCTCAACCTGAAATCAAAGAAAAATCAGGAAATGTATTCACAAAAAATGACTAAAACCAACAGTTGTTGCTAAATTTGTTTTGTAATATCAAATAAGCATGCTACTTTGCATCTATTTTTGCTATTAGGAAGAAATCTGACCTTTGGCCTCTTGAAACTATTAGGGCCCGCTTGAGAAGCATCCTCTGACGGATGTCTTTTGCGCTGCCCGTTTCCCAGACCTGCGTCGCTCAATGCCTCGCCAGAGGCAGGAGCCGCGTTCAACCCCAGAGGATCCGACTGAAACAACAGCAAATACAGGACAGTGTTGTTATCATATTATTAAAAATAGTTTTCACTAATAAAGTAAAGCTGAAACAAAATATAACACAGGAAAACTATAACGCATTTGGTATTGTATCTAAAGAAACTGTATAAACAAAACAAAAAACCTTGTCAAAGTAACCCTGTCCCAAATTAAATGTTACATTCATAATAATGAGATTTAATTGGTTCTGAAGGCTGAACTTACAATGACATCGTGCTGCCCAAGGACAGGCATTTCCCACAGCGACTGGTTAGTGAACCGATTGAAGTAATATGGCCGATTCTCTCTTTTACTCCAACATTTGGCCCATCCAGCCTGAATCATCTCATCTGAAAGTGAAACTTAAAAATCAGATGCGCAGCTGCATAGGGATTATTGGTCACTTAGGCCTCACAGATACGGACCTGGGAGCTCTTGGATGGGTTTGCTGGTCGAGGGCGATAATGGAGCCGGCTGTGACGTGGACCCGGTGGGCGACATGACCATTGGCGGATCTGCCTTTACTGTTCCGTGGTTTTCACTCGTCATAGCTCCTCATTTGTCCCGTCTTAGGATAGAAAAGGTTTCATCTTTACAAAATGAAAGCATTGCAATTCTGAGAGCACTGAAGGTCATATTAAAGGGTTAGTTGACCCAAAAATGAATATGATCCCATAATTTACTCACCCTCAAGCCATCCTAGGTGTATATGACTTTCTTCTTTCAGCAAAACACAATCGGAGTTATATTAAAAAAAATACTGGCTCTTTCAAGCTTTATAATGGGAGTGAATAGAGCCTGAGATTTTATAGCCCAAAAAAAGCACATTATAAAAGTGCTCCAAGGGGGTTAATAAAGGCCTTCTGAAGTACAGCCATGCGTTTTTATAAGAAAAATATCCATATTTATAACATTATAAACTATAATCTAGTGTTGTCACGATACCAAAATTATTGTTTCGATACCGATACCAAGTCAAGAATTGCGATTTCGATACTTTTTCGATACCTTTCCTGAAAAGGGAGAAACACTCTCAAATATCATTGCTGTGCTTTATTTTAAAACTGGGACAACATTCCAATCATAACACACTAATAAATGAACATTTGAACAGCAGATAGGCTATAATAACCATTTGAACAAAATATGAAATATGAAAAATATAAAAAATAAATTAGAGCAATGACATTCAAGGTAAAAAAATAAATAAATTTAGCAGCATTATCTCAGTTATCATAAGAAACATAAGATTTTATCAATATCAATGCCACTGACGATTCTGCTTATCGATCCGATTCTTTAACGATTCTCTTATCGATTCATGATAGCATTGTGTGGAAAAAAGTAGTCATATGCTTTTTCGGGGGGAAAAAACAAGTGTTTTTATTTGTTTTATGTAATTTATGTAATAAATGAAACCTTATTACAAAGTGTTAACGATTAGTTATACACCGATTCAGACAGATCAGTTGTTTTAACCATTCATTAAAACGAATCGGTTCAAATGAGTCATTAGTTCGCGAATTGGACGTGTCATTATCGGACGTGTGCGCGTTGTGTGATTATCCAGGCGGTTACATCCCACTGTCATCACAGAAAACATTTCATGACTGGATAGTTTTTTTCGTTTATTTAAAGTGTGGTTTATGTCAGCTGAATGTGCGGAACGATTCAGAGAAGATAAGGCAACGTATTTTACCACAATTTACACCCAGCGGTAATTCAGAAAAAAAAAAAAAAACAACTCCGAATGCTCCACATGAAACTTTAGTCTCCCGACCTTACCATCGTGTCGAATTATTTTGATTAATATGTGCGAGGGAGAGAGAGAGAGCAAGACAGCGCTTAGTTTTGAGACGGTGAAGCCTTGTTTATACTTTCGCCTGGCTCCGCAGAGAGAGAGAGAGTGCGCGCGCGCGACCGGGGCTCGCTCACTCTCTCTCTCTCTCTCTCTCTCTGCTCGTTCAGTTCACGCGCCCTGTCACACGCGCATGAGGAGAAAAACACAGACGTCCATAGGGAGGCACTGGAAGCGTGCGTTGCACACACCAACATGCAATACTCTCTTACAAATCTGGAACGCGGACATTCTTAGAAGTATCGATACTAATAAATTTAGGTATCGTGAAGTTTTTAATTTCCGAGTATCGCGATACTTTTGAAGTATCGGTGCACCGTGCAACACTACTATAATCACTGGCTTCCGGTAACTGCCGTCCGGAGTCTAGTTCTGCTCGAAGAGTGACCTCTGACCCGACGCATGATGTATTGACGAATGCAGAGGATAGAGCAAAACAAAACTGCATGAAGAAAGTCATATACACCTAGGATGGCTTGGAGGCAGAGTAAATAATGGGATTTTTTTGTTTTTGTTTGGATGAACAAACCCTTAGGCTTTAACCCTAAATCAGGGCTCGACATAAGCAATGGCCCGATGGCCCGGGGCCAGTAAAAGAGTATGTCGGGCTAGTTGATTGGCCAGTCACTGGCCCACGCGGGCCAGTGAATGGCCATCAGCAAAACAAACAGCAAACGTCATATACAGTGGCGCGAAGATTGTCAATGTTACTTCAGGTTATTTATAACGTGTTAAAATGTCAAAGAACTATGAGGCTGACACGAGAAAGAGGACATTCCTAGTAGGGCTGGGCGGTAAATCGAGTTTGTAGGCTACAGTATATTGATTTTTTTTTAAACGATATGGAATGAGGCAATACCGTTTCGATACAGTAGTTTGATACGAGCACATCTGAAAAATAGCGGAGTACGCAGTGTGAGCTCCTGCAGTGAAAGAACATAGTACAATTTGTCCTAAACATGACACAAGCTTATACTGGTAAGATATAGTTAACAAGTTTAAAGTAGCTTGCCTTGTCAGATGCTCTGACAGATACTGTTGCTGACTGAGAGATAAATACTTGCGCAGTTTAATGCGTTTGAGACGTGGTGCTTTCCTCAGTGCTTAACTTATATTTCACAGGTATATTCTCCATCTGTAAATGTTAGAAAGTCAAACTAATATGTCCATTTCACTGTCAGGAGAGGACGAGCTTCTGCAAGTGAATCTCCTCTAATATTCAAGCTCCCGTGAATGAGCGCCGCCGCGAGCACGCGCGCCAAACAGACGGAGCACAATAGAAGAGTAGCGCAATAATTCTGACTAAAATATACATATTGCTAAAATATTTGTTGTTGGAGACAATAAATGTGCCATATGTGGAATTTTAAACCTACAAGTATGTTTTTATGAAAGTGAGCATTATAATGGGGTAATCAAATGCAGGCTAATATAATTAGTTTGTGCTTTTGTTTTTATTTTCATTTTTAGTTTAGCCTTTAGTCATTTTAAAAACAAAAGCATTATTTTTGCTTTTAGATTGTAATGTTACAATGTTAGAATGTAATATGATTTTAACAACCTTTTTGCACATAATATATTGCATAGCCTACATTACATTCCCTATATTTGTTTCCATATCCTTCATATCAATATTGTTTGGATATCATTGAGCAGGATGTGAATTTTTTTTTTTTTAAATAAATACAGATTTTCTTTATCCAAATAGAAAAACGTAGAAATTACCGAGATATATATCGTATATCGCCATTTAACCAAAAAATACCGAGATATGATTTTTTTGGCCATATCGCCCAGTCCTAATTCCTAGTGTCATGGAAAACACAGTACACCTGGGTGGAGAAAGGCGATGAGGGCATGTACTGTTTCGTTTGCCGGAAATTTCCAACAAAAGCCGACCAAAATGCATAACCGGCCTGCCGACGGGCTATCTAAAGTGTAATCAAATTCCCCCCTAAACTTCTGCCTAGCCCCCCTAAAAATGTGTGATTAAGTGTAAGCTACACAAATTTGTGTTCGCTTCAGTCTTGTTATAATCAGATTCAGCGCGTTCTTCATTTTTTCTTCATTGACAGCTTTTTTAGGTCATAAATGTTAAACGAATGACAAAAATAATCAGGCAAACTAAAATACTTTTGTCTAATTTCGCCATTTTGAAGTGAAAATAGGCCTATGTAATATTACTCATCACTCATGTAATGTAATAATTAGTTTACTGTCATTGTGAGGGGACAAGAAAAATTAATCCTAATGTATACAATAAATACAGTTTAATGGAAAAGTGCTTTTCCTTCTATTTCTTTCAGGGCCAGTAAAAATATAGAAGGGGCCAGTAAAACTCTGATCTACTGGCCCTGGGGGCCAGTGGGGATTTTTTTTTTATGTTGAGCCCTGCCTAAATGTTGTGTTTGGTTGGGTCTGACATCATGGCATGTATAAAACACACAAAAAAATAAAAATAAAATAAAAAAAATCACATCCTAAGCTTAATAAAATAGAAGATTAAAGTTCCGATAATAACATTTTGAATAGGTCAAAATAACACAAAGTCATTTGAAGGCAAATAACTCATCAAAACAAAAACAAAAAAGTCAACAGTACTGTTCAATTTTATTAATTCCCAAAAGGTAATTAAGTTGTGGACATAAAAATAACCAGCCCATAGTCAATAAAATAGTTGAGTACTGTAAAACCGTGTACTAACCAGACGCAATGCGATAAGATTCCAGCGACACATTTGTCCACACTAGACGCGACTGCGAGATACGTAAAAATCAATCAAAACCCACAGCCAATCAGAACAGCGTGTGGGCGGAGTCTCGCGGCAAGCGCACAGCACCAGGGAGTAATCTTGACGACACTCGCAAGAAAAGTAGGCTACATAATCAAATTCACAAATATTACACCATTTAAACATTATTCAAAAAGTCTACTGAGTTACTAAAACAATATTTGTAAAATAATACACTTGTTTGTTCACAGTTGGAAGTTTAATTTCAAGATCTGAGGTTAATTATCCATTGTTACTTTTACAACTAAACTTACAAAGCTGGGAGCACTTAATGATATTCAAAGTCACATCACACGCTTTTAACATTAAATAAAGCACATAAAAATATATATATTTTATGCTTTAATAAATCTCACATTTGGTTAATTGATTTTGTTGTGAATGTACCATATGTTGCACCCTGACCCCAGTCCACCTAGGGGCATAACATTACTCAATTTTCATGCAATTCACTTCATATAGTATAGCAGTAGATAAGTCAAGTCTCAACTCTTTTTAGATATATTGTTCATATGCAAAAATCCCATATGGAATGGTAATGGTTGAAAATTCCGTTTTCTCCGATTTGAGGTACAGTGGAGAACTTTGGTTATACCAGCTGTAATCTTCTAGATAGAAAGGTCATCTTGGACTTAAATTGAAGCTTATAAACTTGAAGTTTTTCATGTACATTTGTGGCAGTTATATGTATAATAAAATGCTTGAAAATGATCATCTTTGATGACAATATGTCAGGCGGACAGACATTTTTTTTTGTCTTTTGGGGTATGTTGAGGGTGATATTTGACAGTAAAAAGGCAGCAATCCCCAGAATCTTTTTCTGCTAGTTTCCCCTATGTGTCAGGATACACTATGCAAAATTTTAGGGTTATATGACCATTTATGTAGCTGCAGTACCTTAATATTCACAATTACATAATTCCGCCAAAAGCTTTTCCCCAAAAGGGTGTTTTTTGGCCCCTGAGGCCAAACAGGGCCGAGTTGGGGGTGGTCATTATCAACTTGTGATGGCCCAAGGTATAAGATAATAGGAAATAATAGTGAAAAAAAGGTAGCAAAAAACATCCTGAGGAGTGGACCTGGCTCCCGGCCTATAAACAGTACCTGAGATTATCATTGCCACACTTTGTGTTTGCCGTAGCGGCTGGTTAGGACAAAAACTCTGATTAATATGGAAAAGATAACTTTACCCTTTATCGCGTCGCATCGCGTAGTATAAAATAATGACAGTTTTTTTTTTTTTTAGGGGTGAGGTAACGTTATGCCTTTAAACCTTTTTGGGTGAATGTGAAAGAAAAACTCTAACTTACAGGGAAATGAACCTTCACATAATAAAACTGAAACTTTGGATCCTCAAACAGTTACGTTACACATACAGAGTAAAAAAAAACCCATTTTATTCATAGCTATGAGATATGATTAGAGTTACCATGGTAATTTCTGGTTTGTAATTGGTATGGGATTTCCAGTAACCATACGTTGTCCCATTTCCGTACGCATACTTTGTAGAAAATATGGTACGTCATAGGTAAACATTCAGTATCATGGTAGCGTTACACTGATGGTAATGTTTTAAAATTATATATAGACAGTGACACTCTCTCTTTACTTCTGAGGAATATCATAGTGATACCATGGTAAACGTAAAGGCACCTTACGGTTAAAATGTATTTCGCTGGCCCGAGTTGGCATGCATTTAAAAACTGACAGGTAGTAATTTATCACTCAATCTCAGAAAAGACATGAACGGCGTTTTTTCCTACAAATAAACCATTCAAAAAGCACTATGGCGTTGACATGGTACAGTATTATCGGATAGCAATACGATTGTCCTATTGTATTACAGTGGGTCTTGGTTGATAACCCAGGGTATCATACCATACATCATTAATTTATTCTGCGAAAGTGTTTACAGCGTTTATCGTCGTTAATAAGAGCGCAAATGAGCGAAAGAAGGGCACGCATGCGCCTGCTACGCCGCCCACCCCAGATCGAGCCGCCCGAAAACAAACCCGAAGGAGGAGGAGAAAAACATCCAACAAAGAGCTACTACGGCAGCACAAGCTGATGTGCTGGATAGAGCAGGTACAATAAGACCAAGTGGCGTGGCACCTGGCTTCATTTGGGCACAGAAAGGACGAAGATACATAGGGCCATCACCATAGTGTGTCAAACTGCTCATTTATTGAGTTTTAATCCCGTCAATTTTCGACCGTTACGACCAAAAATTTTAGGCGCGCACTTTGGCTTAGTGGAAACGCTCGACAAGATGGCGCGCGCTCTCGCATACTAGGCGCCGCGCTCACTGCGCATTATAATGTCTGTTTATTGCGTGCACTGCGCACGTTTTCAGCAACCGTGGGGATATTATTGTGCCCCGAGCATTCCGCCACGCGCCCATAGGTCTAGTGCTGCTCTTCAATGGCTGAATCCCTTACCTTGGAGAGGTTTGATGGGAGTCCTCAATAGGCTTTGCTCTATTCGGTTCGGACCCGCCTCCGCCTCTCCCTCCCCACCGACTCCGCCATCTTGTATCGGGCACTCGGACGCGGTTAATGCGCATGCGCGGGTTTAGTTGCCATCCGCAGTGAAAGTCGTCAAACCCGCGCGGCCATTTGTAGAGAGGCATTCATTCATTCAGTCTACTGTGAAGCGAAATAACAAACATAAACTAATTGTTTGGTTTATTTATAGGAAACTGCGTGAATGTTCTTTATTGTTGTCCTGGAAATGTGTGTGTACTGTGTATATTACATATGTCTATTTTAATTGTATCATGTTTTCTTTTAAATATTTCTATTTAGCTTTATTTTTATTTCAGTTATGTTTGAGACATTTTAGTACCTCAACTTAAACTTATTTCAGTTAGTTGCCAAGGAAACATTTCTAACATTGATTGTTTCTGTTTTGAACGTATTATTAACCAGTATTATTAACGAAAGCACATCAAAACTAAAAAATCAAGTATGAAATCCAATCATAAACAGATATTTAAGTCCCAAATTGATCATAAAGTCATAACACGTAGTAGGCTACCTTAACACCTCCCCTGTCATCATTATATTGCAGTTACACTTTTAATATTTATGTGTTGTACACTCATGAAACAACAAAGTGAAACCTAAAGATGTGCTTGACTTTTAAAAATTAAAATCTACAAAAGGCTAAAGGCTGTTTAAATAATTGTTTTCTTGTCAATGTTTGCTTTTGAACTCTACCACTGTTACACTTTTGGACATTAGGCTTATGCATCATACTATATGTCATTTGAACTATATTTGTAAATTGCACAGCATGAATTTGGCTCATATTTGTACATCATGTAATTTGCACTACAATTGATGATGTGCACTACTGCCCTTTGTGTCATATTTGCCATTTGCACTTGATCTACAGTATATATATATATTTTTTCAACTTAAATTGAATTAAACTGACTTAAAAAATGTGTTGAATCTTGTATAACTTATAATTGAAAAAAAATAGCTTAACTTATTTCGATGAATTAAAGCAATTTAAAAACATATGTTGTCAACTTATTGATCATATAATTTTTTACAATGTACAGTTTACATTTCTCATTTAATTTTATAGTTTTATAATTTATATATAATCTAATATTTAATTACATTTTATTTTAATTAGTAAAAGTATTTTTTTAATAGTTTTAGTAAATAATAACGCTAACTGCAAAAAATATTGTTGGTTCAACTTAAAAAAGTAACCTGGTTGCCTTCAAATTTTAAGTTCATTGACATAATTTTTTTTGAGTTGATACAATGAAGGAGTTTGATTGAATTAACAGAAACTCAAAATATTATGTTATCTGAACCACATAAATTATCTAAGTTGATATTACAAAAGAAAAAATGTTGTGATGATAAATCATGAAAATATATATTTTTTACAGTGTACTGTATGTACTCAAATCATTATGTAATGCTTTCCTGACATCAATGCCCTGCACGTCAAGCCATTAATCAGGGCCGGAGGTCTACAGAAGTTCTGCGAGGCCACTGAGGGATTTCTGGTCTTTGGTGGGAGTGAAACCAGCTCAAATGTTGTCGAGTCTAAACTTGTGCTGCTCATCCGCCTGGTACAACCCCCTCTTTTCAAACAGGTTTAAACCTATAACTATAAAAAAGAAAGTTTTCACCCCATAATTGGTGGCCAAAAACATTTTCTGAACTTGATTCTCCAAAGTGAGCTCCACCTTGGCCCTCTGTGGTTTTAAGTGGAACCCATTTCTTGGATCATGTGATTCTATGAAGCCTTGCAACATGGGCTTCTCAGAAGTCATGAACTAATTAAAGGTTTAGTCTCCAAAAATTAAAGGGCAGACTGCTGGAATCTGTTTAATGCAGGCTGGAGCCATCGCTCCACTGTTACCTAGAAATAATAAACTTATAAACGCAGCAAATTTGCAGTTTTTAGAAAATGAAACAAAATTCAGTTATTTGTTGCATGTTAATCTTTGACAAATGTTTTCTTTGCACATCCTCATGCTGATGATTATTTGCCACAACAAGGTCATATGTCATGAGGCAAAGAGAAACACCCTTTCCCGAAATGCTTACTGACTCCCTATATAAACTGGGAACATAGTGAACCCAGACTTAAAGAGGGAGGGATGCGAGAGGATTTAAACACTGATGATTTCCAGACTGCAAGAAAATATCGGATTATTCTAAGAGTTTATATCTGAGAGACACTAAAGTTACCCAGCCTGTATTTCCACACCGCTGTAAGTATTCTACTATTGTGAAAGGCACTACAAAGGTATTTGGGGAGGGAAATATGGGAATAAGCTGCAATGCTTGCACAAAATGTGTTCAAAGTTTATGGTTTCACTTTGTGCCATGAGTCAAAAGAGAACTAATGCCTTCCCAGCACAAATGGAGGTAGGTTTATGTTTCTTTAAGGCTAATTTGGAAATTTGCACTGTTCGTGGTTATCGGACATCACCTGTTCCCTGGATTTAGAACATTAGAAGCTTTTTACATTAATGTTTAATATGATTTATAGTGTCCTACATGAAATGGTTCCGAAATTTAGAAAAAATCTGCATGTCAAAGAAGTACAATATCAATTATCTTCATATTTTATTTTAACCATTTAAATTATGGCTCAATGCTAGTTAGTTTAAATAGCTGCGGTACATTTTATATTATATTGTTTTGCCTTTTGACCCAAATTCTCGTTAGTTATTAAATGAATTATTTAAAAGAATAAAATTATACATCGATATTACATGAATCATTATATTTGTACCATAATATACATTTATTTATTTAAAATGATTTAAAAGTACAATTTAAAATTAAATACACAGTTGTAGTGCCAATGTGAACAAAACTGTTTTATAAAACTGTCACCGTCCCACAGGTGGGACGTTTGCCATTATATTTTTAAAACAATAATATCTTAGCAAAAACCTTAAGTAATATTGACAAACTATATATAATTTGAAAGCTTACCATCTCTAGTTTCCATATTTGGTGACTGAGTTTCAAAATAAATTAAAGAGGAGCCGTAACTTATCAATTTGCAACAAGAATATTTTCATACTCCTGAGGCGTGTTCAGACCTTTATTTTGAAAAATACATGAAAAATCATGAAAAAATGGTAGAAACCTCAGTTTGTTTTCATGCCAAGAGTTCAAAAGATAGCATCCATTCAATTATTTTAGAAAAAAAGGTCTGAAAATGTTTTAAATATAAAGAAAAAATATATAAATTCACCATTTGTGATGTGGCAGCGAGCTATGACGCATATGCGTGTTCTTTGTATGTGTTTCTTAGAGGTTGAATTCATATCAAAATCTGCCAAACTTCCCATACTACTTCTAAATAGGATGTCTACTTCATAAATTGTATGAAAATTGTGGAAATAATGGTTCAGATCACGCAAAACGCATATGCAAATGGAGGCGCCCTTATATGGGCAGTAATGGAGTCTGGTTGTCATCTAGTGAAAAAGTTTGGTACTGCGCCCAAACAAAATCTTACTGAAAGCTCATTTTTTGAGATATCAACCTAAAATTTTAAACACAACTTGTTCAGATTTTTGGCTTTGATTTTTCTGCAGTTTTAGAGTAGCCCAGGTTTTGAAAATATATATTTTATATAAAATATGAATAATAAATTTTTTTACATTGTACCTACATTTCCATAAACTCAAACTTCTATAACTTTTTTTCTGTTTCACTTTCTTAATTCATTTCACTTCTACAAAAATCTGTCTTCTTTAAAACAAGACCAATCTTACGTCTATATTCCAAAGCATTCTTGAATTACAACCATTTAAGTTCGAAATGTGCATTTTCATGTCTATTAAAAAAAATGGGGGTGACACTTAAAGGGTTAACACATATCTTGAATGTAAAGTTGGTGTCTATTTTACTTGTGTAACATTGTTTTTCTTATTATGTTTGGGGTATGACCTGAAGAAGCAATCTTGTGTTTGTGAACTATAGTAACTCCACTCTCTTCACAAAGCAAACCCGAAAACACTTGTGAGGAACATTCCAAAACCTAAACGATTCCCACTAACATGGAATAAATAGTTTATTCCTTAATTTACTACAACTTGATATATGTTTCACAAAGAACATGTTCATCCTTCCTGAAATGTAAAGACTTCTGGCCTCATTGAGCATAATTTTGTGTCAAAGGTCACCTATCGGTATTGCACACGGACAATGTGTTTGCTGGAATCAAGGAGTAATTGCCTTTGGATGCTTAAAAAGCTCCTAAGCCCATGCAGGGTTTTATACAAAATGAATGAGGCACTTGTAAAATCTTTCTGCCTGCCTGAGACCATCTTCTTTGAAGCGGGATAAATCAGCTAGACCCTGGGGTCAATGACCCTAAAAAGCCCATTTGTGTGACGGTTTGTTTTGGTCCTGTTTGTTCCTGCGTGGGTGACTATAGACACAGCTGCCTCCAGCGACAGACGCACACATGCGACCTCCAAGAGAGCGACCTCATTCAAGCTGTTCTCTATCATGCTGGTTATTTATCACACTTTTAATTTTGACCATATACATTTAGTAATTTAAACAAACCATTAACTCATTCCACACCTTTCGAGCATATGCACATGAATGAAAAGCAACAACCCAGATCACCTTAACCAATTTGCCAAAACCCTCTCAAAACACTTAAGGAACTGCATAGCAACACCCTGGCAACCACCCAGAACTCCACAGCAACCAGCCAGAATTCTCACAATTGATTAGCAACAACCAAATACACTTTAGCAATCACACAATCCCTTAGAACACCCTCACCGCCTCTCTCTCTCTCCCCTCACTGCCTGTCTCTCTGTCTCTCTCTCTCTCTCTCTCTCTCTCCCTCTCTCCCCTCACTGCCTGTCTCTCTCTACCTCTGCTGTCCATTCAGACGAGGCAAACAGTCTCTCCTCCTCTGCACTATACGCAGACAAACACTCTTCACACACACTGCTACAGAAACAAGAGCAGAAAGACCTGGACTTCTTTGGCTGGATATTTTCTTACATACGCTTGAAAGGCAAGATCATTCTCTCATTTGCTTTGCTGTCTCTGTATATTTAGCTGTCAGCGCCCATTTTCCTGTTGCCGCACTGGAGAAGCTCTTTGGTGCAGGACTGTGCTTGGAAAGAGACAGACCTGCCTGTATAAAGCTGCAAGACTATATCTCTTGATAGTAACTCTGATGTGATCTTTAATAACTAATTAATGAGGAGGGACTTTCATAGCAAGAGTTTTAAATTTTAAGTGAACTGTTTTTTTTAGTTAATTTATATTTTGTCAAATATTATTTCAATTTAAGTTGTAGTATTTATACTTTTAAAATCTTAAATCGTACAGAGCTCTAGTTGTACCACCTGTGACCTGACTGCTGCAGATTCATTTCAGCAATGATAGTGTTGACATAAACATATCTGAGAACATGAACAGCTCCGGTTAACATTACGGTTACAACATGGCGTGAACGCAGCATATAAGCTCATTAATTTGGTTCAGAAGGAACTGTAAACATCGTCTGCTGTTTGTTTGTGGCGCTCAGTGACTGTCTCTACAACTCTGCATTGCCTAATCAAATGCGCTGATGACGTATAATGTCTGCGCGAGCAGGTAGGACATCATATTAGATGAACGTTTTTTGGTCCTGAGACTTCCACCGAATATGTTTTAATTTTTTAGACCACTTCTATTGTTGATTGCTATCAGGATGTGAAGCGAGTTTCAACCAGTTGGCAAAAAAGTGTTTATAAAAACCAATAGCCTACCCTTAACCATTTTTGATGATGCTGGTTGATCCTAGCTCTCGGTTTCCTCTTGATCACTTCGTTATTGTTGTTTTTCAGGTCTACTGAGGAATCATGGGACTGCTGAAAGTCTCTGTTATCTTTCTTCTTTCACTCGTCACGATGACTTTAGCACAGCCGCCTGGATGCAAGATCCGCATCACTGACAGAGGACTGGAGATGTGTAAGATATAGTCCAGTATTCAGACTTAAAATGCAACTATAGTTTCTCATATATTAGTCTATAATGGCCTCTGTTTGACGTCTTTACAGTGAAAGCCGAGACAAGGAATTTCGTGGAAGGAGAGTTGAGTAACATCACCATGCCAGAAATGCGCGGTTCCGAGGGCCGCTTCCAATACACCATTAAAGAGTATGTTAAAATTTTATCGAACTGATTTCCACTTTCATAGTCATGACTCATGCTCATCCGGCGCCCTCATGTGGTCATTCACACACAAAGACCATGAGGAAGCAAATGCACATTAAGTATTAGAGTTGTGCACTTTTCAGAAATGAAAAAAGCAGCGGTGTAACTCCAGGGGTCAGAAAGTAAGAGTCCTGCCATTTGTTTATTCCACCCATGAACTCAGCCAGCTGATTTCACCAATTAGTTCTATCTCCTGGCTGAAAAACTGTGCTAATTAGCAAATCCAGGTGATTTGAACAAAATACTGAGGAGGACTATACTTTCTGAACCTGGACTTTACACCTCTGGAAAAAAGAATGCCTTTTAAATACCAATTCAATTAGTGATTTTGAATTGAGGAAGCAAAGAGGATGCAGTATTGCAATTTGAATTAGAATGAAAGGAAGTATTTAAACTGATGTTTCTTTAGTGTGAAGGTCACGGAGCTGAACCTGACGTCTGACCTGCGCTTCCAGCCAGAGGTCGGGCTGCTGTTCGAGGTGCAGAACTCCTCCATCACCCTCAACTTCCAGAGACGCATCCTTTACTGGCTCTTGTGAGTCTGAAATGCATCTGTAGCAATCAAGCAGAAGACTTGAGGTTACAAGCAACAATACCCTTAAAGAAAAAACACTTCTTTTAAACTATAACTACAGTATAAAGTATACTTTCAGTCTACTTATTCTCAGAAATACACTGATAATTACACTTAAGTATACTTGACTCATGCTGACAGAAAAGTCTAAGTTGCCTATATTTGGCCTATCCTTGTACTTAATCTTTTGATCGAGACATATACTTAAAAGTATAATTAAGTACTCTATCCCCTGGTTTCACAGACAAGGCTTGAGTCTAGTCCCAGACTAAAATGCATGTTTGAGCTGTTTAAACTGAAACTTGCACTGATATATTTTAAAATATGTCAGCGCCATTGTTTTGTCTCCGGATGCACACCAGTAATGTTTGTTTCTAAGGCACGTTTATAAAAGCTACTTAAATGTCCTAATTGAACTAGGGTCTAATCCTGGTTTAATCTAAGCCCTGTCTGTGAAACCAGGCCTATACATATGATGTTAAGTTCAGTATAAAACTACTAAACTAGTAGTTTATTAAGAGTATACTTCAAACTAAAAAATGTGCTACATGTATTTAACTTGAAAACTATCAGTATACCCATATGTTTACTTTTATAGTTGCAGTAAAGCAAAAAACTAAACTAGTTGTGTACTCAGTTTACTTCTGTTACACTTAAAGTATACTTTTATACATTAAAAAGTGGGCCAAGTTAGTTCCTAGTAGGATTGGAATAGTACACTTACAATATATACTAGTACATTGATATTAGTATACTTACTACATAAAGTATACTTAAAAATATACTTGAACTTTAACTTGAAGTATATTTATTTTTTGTAAGGGACTTTTATACATGAAGGATGCATTAAATTGATCAAAAGTGACATTAAGGATATTTATAATTTATTCAAAGAATCCTGAAAGAAACGTATTACGAGTTGTACAAAAATATGAAGCAGCAGCACAACTGTTTTCAACATTGATAATAATCATAAATGTTTCTTGAGCAGCAAATCATCATATTATAGTGATTTCTGAAGGATCATGTGACACTGAAGACTGGAGTAATGATGCTGAAAATGCAGCTTTGATCACAGGAAAAAATTACATCTTAAAATATATTTACATAAAAAACAGTTATTTTAAATTGAAATAATATTTCACAATATTACTGTTTTTACTGTATTTTTTATCAAATAAATTCAGCCTTGGTGAACAGAAGAGACTTCTTTTAATGTAAATGAAAACTAACAGGCATGCACTAAAAGCTATAATGCTTTGATTCTTTCTATTGAGTGAGAACTGGATATCATACATGGTGTGTAGAGCCGTTTGATGTAGTTTAAAACCTCCACTATTATAAGTCTCTCACTACAGCAGGTCTTCCCCTTTCTCTCCATTAGTTATGATGAGGGAGCCATCAACGCCTCAGCTGAAGGTGTCAACATCTTCACAGTCCTCCATCTGAGCAAAGACGAGGAGGGCCGTCTCAAGATCTCCAACATCACCTGTGATGCGTCCATCGCCAAGATGAGGGCCAAATTTAGCGGGACCCTTGGGTACGTGACTGTTGAACTTTGAGCATGTCTACAGCAAGTGACACATGACTTGATTAATTTAACTTTTTTGTCAATGAAATAATTTTTTTTGCTCAGCATTTTGCATTATATGGCATATTCTCATGTGCCTCAAAATATTCTCACAGGAGGGTTTATGACTTTATCGGAACGTTCCTGACTACAGGAATGCGCTTCATCCTAAATAAACAGGTTTGTTTGCTTTTTTTCAGTAAGGAATAGGAGACGCGTGTCATGGTGCTTGCATATCATTGCCCACCCCAAAGAAAGATTAACTTTAATAGCATTAGAATTAATTTGAACACATTTTAATAGAAATGAACTGCATATATGTCTCTGTCAGATTTGTCCTGCCTTGAATCATGCTGCACTAGTTTTGGTCAACCAGCTGCTGGAAACAATCCCAGGTTAGAGAACATGTTGATCATCTTAAAACTGTTGTGATATATTTATCTGGCAGAAATGTGTTTACCTGAATGTGTTTCTCAGTGCGCACGGAGGTGGACAATTACGTGGGCATCGACTACTCTCTGCTGAGTGACCCTGTGGTGACAGAATCAAGCCTTGATATGGATTTTAGGGTGAGTGACAGATGCAAGTGGTGTTCACTGCAGAGCCAATTGATGTCCTGCTCTGGATGGAATGGGTGGAGCTTGACTTAGTCCAGCCCCGCCTCTGTGGAACTAATGGGTGGGGCCTGACCTTCAAGCCCCACCCGTTACATCCAGAGAGGGGGAGCTGAACATCAAGCTCCACCCATTGACTCTGGAGTAATGCATATACTGTTCAAAGCAGGGGCGATTCTAGGATTTTTTCAACTGGGGGGCACAAGAGGGGCCACAATTATTACAGAGGGGCCATTCGGGTTCTGTTGTCTTACACGTCTTACTGGGTTACAGTAGGTTAAATCATAACAAGGAAACTTTACGTGTGATTCATGTCATCGCGACATACTGTAACACATTATACAGGCTTAATAATTACAACTTTAGCACTGATATAGCAAGACTTTTTCTTTTAGTTGTCCTCTTTTAGACAGATATGTTTTTCTTGCTGTGTAAATTTGTTTAAATTCTTAAATAACAAAAATGCGGGGATTATGAAATCATACAAGCCCCGCATATTTTGCGTGGAAATCGGCAATTTATACGGCAAAAGTGCGGCGTATTTGAAAAAATGCCCCCGCATAAATATGCAGACTTTGGCTGATTATGCATTGAATCATGCAATCGCATAATGGCGTTTTTCTGGAGGGACTGAAAGGTGATGTTCATAATAATAAATTCTAGATGGAATAGCAATTGGCATTTTACAGCACCCAATTTTGAGAACATGCCATGATAGCTTACAGCAACCTATTTTTGTGAAATCATAATCGAAATAAAAAAATATTGCAGGACTTGGGACTTTCGGACAACTGTGGACATCTATACTTTATTTTTATGAAATAAAGATATTTTATGATATTTACAATATTTCAGTTAAACAACACTTGAACAATAACTTTTATCTTAACGTTACTTCTTAACAGTTGGACAAAAAAAAAGTGTTCAATGAGTAGTATACAGAATACATCTAGCCTACAGTAAATTTATACAACAGATATTTTATAAAAAATATATCAATAAAACCTAAATCAATGTATTCGGTATTGGACATCAATTTAACATTGACATTAGATGTTGAATTTACATTGAATTTTGGTCACCCGACGTCGCAACTAAAATTTAACCAAATATCAACGTTTTATGACGTTGTGTGCCTGCTGGGAATAATCTGTTATGTCTCATTTAACAGACGCTTTTATCCAAAGCAACAAGTAGGAGAGCATTTAACACACACTCGACACAATCAGGCGCGACGAGGTCCTTTCGGGTTCTGTTTTACACGTCTTACTGCGTTACAGTAGGTTAAATCATAACAAGGAAACTTTACGTTTGATTCATGTCATGGCGACATACTGTAACACATTATACTTACAGTGTGTGTAAAAAAAAAAGATGTAATCGTCCTCTGCTTTTTTTCTGGGGTGCATGCATGGAATACATTAGACGGCCAAACTGCAACTAAACGAACATGAAAATTCGCAAGAGCAACAAGAGATTTGAAGCTCATGGCAGACGCGCCCAATAGATGCTTCGCGCTGTGATTGGCTGAATGTTAGTTCACTCAAGTCTAAGTAACAAATCAGAGAACACGGGCGGAAATATTGGCGCTGAGTCAAAAAAAGAAAGAAAAAGAAATAGAAAAAACTCTAGCTCGCTATTCTTGGTCCTCGTTGAGAAGCAGGAATCATGAATTATTCTACTACAAACTGAAAGATTATGATTTGAATTTTTGAGTGACAGACAAGTAGAAGGGTGGGGGCACACTGGGGGGCCAATCAGTTTTCAGGAGGGGCCAGTGCCCCCATGGCCCCTCCCCTGTCTACGCCACTGGTTCAAAGGTTTGGGGTCAGCTAAGGTCAGTTTACATTCATCAAAGAATCCTGAACCTGTTTCCACAAAAATATGAAGCATCACAACTCTTTTCAACATTGATAATAATCAGAAATGTTTCTTGAGCAGCAAATCAGCATATTAGAATGATTTCTGAAGGATATATTTCAAAATATGCAAAACATATATATTGAAAATATAAATGTTAAACTTGATTTTTGAAAAATGTACTTTATAATATTTCCCAAAAAATGTAACATATATTTTCAAAGTAAATATTATAAGTAATATATATTTATTTAATTCATTCTGCATCCACTCCAAATTTATTTTAAGACTGAAAATTTATTTTCTTAATAATAATAATAATAATTCATCACATTTATATAGCGCTTTTCTGGACACTCAAAGCGCTTCACATAGAAGGGGGAATCTCCTCAACCACCACCAATGTGCAGCATCCACCTGGATGATGCGACGGCAGCCATAGTGCGCCAGAACGCTCACCACACACCAGCTTACTGGTGGAGAGGAGACAGAGTGATCAAGCCAATTGGTATATATACATATATATATATGGGGATGATTAGGAGGCCATGATGGACAGAGGCCACTGGGCAAATTTGGCCAGGATGCCGGGGTTACACCCCTACTCTTTCGAAAGACATCCTGGGATTTTTTGTGACCACAGAGAGTCAGGACCTCGGTTTAACGTCTCATCCGAAGGACGGTGCTCAATTGACAGTATAGTGTCCCCGTCACTATACTGGGGCGTTAGGACCCTCACAGACCACAGGGTGAGCGCCCCCTGCTGGCCGCACTAACACCTCTTCCAGCAGCAACCTGGTTTTCTCAGAAGGTCTCCCATCCAGGTACTAACCAGGCTCAGCCCTGCTTAGCTTCAGTGGGCAACCAGTCTTGGGCTACAGCAGTGTTTCTCAAACTTTTTCTGCCATTCCCCACTTTGAAGGTAGGGAAGGGTTCGTGCCCCACCTGTCCTCATGCAATCGCCCCAACAAAATGTTAATAAACTAAGCTTTAAGTTAAAATGTATTTTATTAACATGACATTTTAAAAACATAAACATGTCAGTAGATAAAAATAATAATGCAATTGTGTTTGTATTTTGCCTCTGATAACATCAAATTCAGAAACGGAGAAAATAAAAGTGTGGACTAAATGTGCTTTGCTTTATTTTGTCACTTCGCAAACTGCATCCAAAAAGAACAAACAAAATTGAAAAAGAATAGGCCTAATAAAAATCTCAGGGTTTTTCCTGGCTCAAAACGAGGCAGAGGTGGTAAAATCAAAATAATGTAGGCCTACGTATTTTAGGTATTTTTATAATAATAATTGTATTTTGTATTTTTCGAAGACTATCATATAAGCTACTGTGTTTCCCACAGTATTTTGTGTGTGGTGTGGACCTCTGCACCCCTGGGGGGGTCCGCGGGCATGCTCCCCGGAAGAAAAGTTTGTACGTTTTAAAGATAAATTCATAAATCTGGTGCACTTTGAAAGTTCAAAATTAAGTGATTAACTAATTTAGTGTCTGCAATGAGCCTGTTTTTTAGTAGGCTACACATATTTTCTGAACCAGAAAATCGCCGCTCACCGCTTGACATCACAACTATTCAGTGTTTTCAACCACATAATGTTTATTTTAGGTTTTAGACATTTAAATTCACATAAGTAAGTTATTAAAAAAGCAATACATTTAGAGTTTGTCAAATACACACTAATGTCTATGGAAGCGGGAATAATAATAATTTCCATTACAATTAGATGACACGTATTATTCATATCAAATAGCCTACACATCGTGTAAGTAAATTTCAAGTTTACTCTATGCTTCTCTCAGTTCACCAGCCACTTACTTTCATACTTTCATTTCGGGAGAAGTGGATAAATTGACGTTTGTTAAATCCAACAGATCCGATTCTCTAAAATCCGGCATAAACTAACGCCCATCGCGTATAGCTCAACTAAGGTGTTTAAACAACAAAACACATCCACTTGCTCATATTTGACAATCTGAATATCAGATATTTCCTGCTATAGCCAACACATTTGTGAAATAAAAGCAGATAATTAGTCATTCAGCATGGCTGCGGTGTGACAAGCAATGACGCTTCACCATGGAAACCATAAAGGGATACGATCTAAATAACGGGCGCCTCTAAAAACTTTTAAACTTACGCGTGAAAAGGTTAAGTAAGGCTTCCATTTAAATGTGTCGTTGTTTTGTTGTTGAAAACAGAGTAGATTTTTTTCCTCAAGTGAATGCAATACGCTTACGTACATTTGTAACTACATTGTTAAGTTTGAAAGATATATTTTCTCAAGCCGTGCTGTTTACAACATATATTTAGTATACATTTTACATATATTTTGGCCAGAATATATAATATAATATAAAAAAATATATATAATTAGGGGTGTAAAATCGATTCATTGCAATTAATCACATCTTACATAAAAGTTTGTGTTTATATAATATATATATATATATACACACAAAGTTTTTTAATGTATTTCTCTCCTTTTCTTCTGCACAGGGCATGTTTTACTCCCTTAAGAATGAGAATGACACCCTGGTGAACTACGCTGTGAATCCCGTAGTGAGAGAGTATAATCGTATGGTCTATCTCTCTCTCTCCGAGTACTTCTTCGACAGCGGCCTCTTCTCTTACTTCAAAGGTGGCCTGTTCCAAACACGGATCGCAAACGAACGAGTAAGACACCATCTAATACGCTTCAAAGGCACGAGACAAAAATAAGACAACTATTAAAACAACTATTATTCGACTCATTTCAGATGCCAAAGGACTTAGAATTGCTCCTCAGGACCACCTACTTGGGGACAATGATGATGCTGGTGAGCAACATTAGATCGTCAACATGCAGGAACCGCACAGCAAAGCCTCGGCCTTCACTTATTCTCTGTGTTTGTTCTGTCCTATCAGAACCCGGCGCTGATGGATCAGCCTCTGTCACTGGAGATCGAGGTCACCTCTCCTCCTCGGTCCACGATCAAGACCTCTGGTGCCAATGTGGCCGTCACCTCGATGGTTAAAGTGTTGGTTCTCCCGGCAGGAAAACCACCAGTACAGCTCAGCATCATGACCATGGTGAGAACTATAACATACACAATGCAATAATTAGTTTTATGATGAAGGGATGCAATAAATGCACCAAATTTGTCCTTGTTTTAGGAAGGTAAATTCAATGCCAAAGTGTCAATGAAGGACAAGCGCTTGACTATCCATTTAGATCTGAGAAGGTAAATATAATGCACAAACATTGAACGTGTTTGACCACCTATTTAACATTGATTTTGAACTGAGAATCTGTTTTCAGGTTTAAAATATACTCCAATCAGTCTGCTCTGGAGTCTCTAGCTGTAAGTTCCCTCAATGTTTCGATTACACTTTGAAAACCCCTTATAATAAAAAAAATGGACAGCAAATGTAATGAAGATCTTTCCTTCAGCTTATTCCACTGCAAGGTCCCCTGAAGACGATGCTGCAGATATCTGTGGTGCCTCTTATTAACAGTGAGTCAAACTATGTGTATATATTTAATGATCATTTTTTAATGCTTTGAAAGAAGTCTCTTCTGCTCACCAAGGCTGAATTTATTTGATCAAAAAAAGACAGTAAAAACCGTAATATTGTAAAATATTATAACAATTCAAAATTAGTGTTTTCTATTTGAATATATGTTCAAATGTAATTTATTCCTGCATGTGATCAAAGCTGAATTTTCAGCATCATTACTCCAGTCTTCAGTGTCACATGATCCTTCAGAAATCACTCTAATATGCTGAGTTGCTGCTTAAGAAACATTTATGATTATTATCAAGATTGAAAACAACTGCTTCAGTTTTTTTTAAGGAAACGGTGATACATTTTTTTAATTTTATTTTTTTGAAAGAAATCTTTATACATTATAAATGTCTTTAATGTCACATTTGATCAATTTAACACATTCTTGCTGAAAAAAACGTATTCGTTTATTTAAAACAAAACAACTGTTGGTATTGATCCCAAGTGGGATCAGAGATATTTGCTTAATATACGTATTTGAAAAGATTTATCTAAATGGTTCATCCTGTGTTTTCATGTAAGATTACATTAAGCGAGGTGTGCAGATCCCTCTTCCTGACGGGTTAGACTTCATTGAAGAAGTGGTCGAGTATCACAATGTAAGTTAAAGGGACACTTTTACTATTTTAAGTTTAAGCTATAGACGATAATACATGTTCAGCTGTATCCTCTTACTTTGATTTGACAGGGCTACATCATCGTGGGAGCAAACCTACACTTCAGAACAAGTCTGCGAGAACTAATCGAGAACAAGCTGTCGGCTCACACAAACAACACAGTTTAAGACGAGAGAAGAGCTCTTCTAACATTAATGCATTCATGCACAGATATTAAATTATGGAGCAATAAATGGAGGTTTTAAAAGAAGAGCACTAACCTCCAAGCCGAAGCATGATGTTTGTTAACTGTACAGAACATTTGATCCTCAAGACCTGCTATAATTAGTCAACATGAACTTGAAATTAACCTTATTTACTCTCTGAATACATATTCCTGGTGTTATTGTGTATAATTTGTCAATGCACATCACTCCTAAGAGAAAGTCTGACTTTATTTTCAGCTGACATGATGCAAGGCAATGCAAAAAAAAATTCTAATGTCTTTTATTGCCATAATTTAATGCTAGTCTAATGAAAATTTGCAGTGTCTATTTATGAGTGCAAATAATCTAGCTTATTGGCAAAGGCTGACCATTGCTTACATATTACCTTTAGCACAAATAGCATAATACTTCTATTTACACTTTGTGCAAACAGTATCTATCACTATTTGCTCTGTGTAAATACCATCTAACATTTTTACTTTTAGTGTAAATAGCTGTTGCATAAACATTACACCAATATAAGCAAATAAGAATGTTTACAAAAAAAATAAGGGATACATACAGTAGAGATGCTTTTTAGGATTAACTGGGTGCCGGTGGGGTTTCGATCCTCTGCAAACTCAAATTAAACTCTGACTCTGTTCTGATATGAAATGCCCACTATACCATCCAATTAATCAGTGCGTTAAAATCAAGTCTTCTTCCACCTTTCAGAAATAAATGGGTTGCAAATGCAAGTTCATGTTGACTTTAATGGTTTTGCATAAGTGTCTGAAACCCCCAGACATGTTCAACTGCTATACTGTGTGCTTAGGTGGATGAAACAAAATGTATTTGTACTTTAAGTTGAATTTTATGATTTTTTGTACAAGTTTTATCTTATATTGACTGTTTAATATGAGATTGGTTTGCCTTCCTCATCATTTGTGAACGAAATTACTGTACCTCTTTATATATAAAAAAAAAAAAATGACATTAAAAATCAGGAAGTATCCCTGATCTCAAACCTTGTTTAATTCATTATTGAAATGAAACTGGTTTTACGCACCATTTTCTACAATAAAAAGATCAAACTAAAAATCATAGAAAATGGATCTTTAATGAAAAAAAAAAAACTGAGGGAAAGAAGAAATAAGGCACAAATATTATTCCCTTATGAGCACAAAAGTACCACAGATCATATAATCATTTTTAAAATAATCAAATGAGGACATTGAGACCTTAAAAGACAAATATAATATGTGCAATGATTAAAAAAAAGCTACAGTTTCATGTTTAATGGAGAAGAGGACATAAGCTAAAATTGTGCAATAAACAGTGAGCATCCACTCACCGAAGATAAACATTGGATTGAATTTAAATTTGTAAACGCTCATAAAAATCAACCATAATCACACTTTATCAAAGATCAATAGTCGCATATAGATGATGTCTTCACACCGTGATTCCCTCAAACGCCTACATCGAGACATGTGCAGTCAGCATGGTTTAATCTTGATAACAAGGATGGCAACTAAACTACATAAAACAAAGAAAATTTCATCAGTTTTGAACAGAATACGGTCTCAGAAACAGTCAGTGGTCTGTCCATAGATCATAAACATTTTACCAGTGTGACAGTGCAAACTCAGATTTAAAGCGTGAAATCCCTGAGTGTGTTCTAGTAAGGTTGTTTGGTGATGAAGCGACTGAACATTGTGAAGGCCGCTATGGGTTTATCAGTGGGAACCATGTGACCCGAACCCTGTGGAGGACATAAATACATTTAAAAGAAAATTGACAAAATTCACATGCATAGTAAGTAAAACTAGTTTACGACGGAAGTGAATGCAGGCTCTATTCTGAACCATATGATGCTTAACCCTTTGATGCACAACATGGGTCTAAATAGACCCGACTGAGTTTTAATTTTCTATATCTTTGGAAGAAATGAATTTCATCATTCCAGGTATTCCTCAATAAACTTGTTTTAGATCATTACAAATCCTTATTTAAATTTTTCCTTTCTTACTTTTCGAATAAAAATCGTTTTTGTCACTACCCTTCTAATGCGCAACATGGGTCTAAAAAGACCCGCATTCTTGTTTCTTTGCTGAATATTTGAAAGAAATGTTTTTTTTTATCATTTATTAATCCAGGTATTCATTAAATATCTTGTTTTTGATTTCCACAAATCATTATATTTATTTTTCCTTTCTTACTTTATAAACAAACACGGTTTTTGTATTTCGACATCAATTTTACACACGGGTCAAAAATATTTATAAATAGTATAAATATATTTACTGCAGAAAACTATTCACCTGCCACACATTTCACAATTCAACACGGCTGCTTTTGTATATTTCATGCATGTAAGTTTTATTTAATACATTTTTTGTCACAGAAAATATTTGATATTTTGTGAAAGACATCTAGATATAGCCTAATATTTGAACGTTTAGGCTAAGGTTACCTTGACCTTGAAATCCATTACAAGTGCAAAAGTCAATACTATTAGCTAGCTGGGGGTCGACATATTCTATTTTATCTAATAGCTAGGTCAACAAAATAAAAAGTTGCAATAGAAAGTTATACACACACAAGTATATATTGTCGCTGTAGGGCAGACACCTTGTGTACCTCCATATTCATTTTTATTTGTGCTCATAAATCAATCCTATCGGTCACATAAGCCGTCGTGTGGTGGCGACTATGGCTGCTGTCGCATCATCCAGGTGGATGCTGCACATTTGTGGTGGGGAGATCCCCCTACAGTTGCACTACACTACAGTTCAATTTCAGTGTTATCGGTTATATGTGTTATGTGTAATAAAGTGGCCAATAAACATATTTCAAGTGTTACAGTAAATGTGTTGATCTAAACAACTGTGACATTGGCTATTTTAACAAAACGTTCTCTGTATTCTTTTGTTTTATCACGCTTGCATAGATGGGTCATTTTAGACCCATGTGTGTAAACTTGATGTATTAACAAAAAACCTATGAAATATTAAAATATGATTTTGTGATAATTGAAAACAAGATATTTTGAATATTCATAAATCATGAAATTTATAGATCATGAAATATTAAATGCTCAAATAAAGTGATTTCAAAAGGTGAAACAAAAAAATGCCAAACCATGCATGAAATAACATAGGAAATGAATACGGGTCTTTTTAGACCCATGTTGTGCATTAGAAGGGGTATCCATAGCTTGCGCATCAAAGGGTTAAAATGCTGTCTATGTATGGCATTGAGTTCCAGTTAATTCAGCTTTTCATTCGTACAGCGAAACCACAGATATTTGTGGATCGTGTGAGTTGCTTTATTGCAGTCTTACCTTCACTGTGAGGAAAGCAATGTTGGTGAACTCCTTGACGAAGCCGCCCACCTGCTGAGATTCACCATTGAAATAAACCCAAGATCTGCGCTGCACCTGGACCTGTTGGAGAAGATAAAGAGATTGTTTCTGCTCCGAAAGAAAGAAAAAAACCCCACATTTGCGCAATTATGTCTGACACATAATTGCACAAAAATGGCAAGAGCTTTTTCCAATGAAACTAAAACAGGCAAATAATAAAAATAAATAAAATAATATTTATGCATTTAAAATTGTAATATAATTAATTAAAATAATGTATTATTTAAATAAATGGATACATAAATAATGACAGTAATACAAATGCTACATTAATAAAATATTACGTAATAAATTGTTATTATACCCTATAATTCATATAAAATATATAAACAAAATATAAATATTATATTAATGGCATTTCAAATAAATTGGTATTATTGTGAAGGGGGTGGATTCTGGAATCCACTGCTGCTTCAATGTATATCTAATGAGTGATTATAATCAAGGTATTAATCAATATTTTCCCTTCTAAATATCAAATGAGTTGAATGACTTCTCTAGGCTTGTGCGATTTAACTTTGTTATAGAAGTTACCGTGATTACTGAAATGTTCCTTCATGTATTCTCTAATGTCTGTATTTGATATCTGACGCAGTAACAGTGCTTGCTCAAGTATCCCGGCTTCCAGAAATGAAATATGGAAAGATGTTTTGTTTGAGAAAGGTCTTCAACATGTGTTAAAACATATATCCGTTCTTCTAGCTCACCATGATGACTATAGGTCACAAGGGTCATTGGAACCAATAGTTTAAGTGACCATTTCTTACATAAAAGTGTCCCATCCTTGAGAGAAAGAACATATTATCTGAGAGGACTCTCCTGTTTATAGTCAGAGCCTGGCCAAATCCAACCTTGGAAAATCTGTGTGTCGGTGTGTGTGTGTTAAGGAACAACGGCATTATTGGAGATAGACTGAGTTGTTGTTCAGGACAGGCTGGCGTCCAGCAACCCAAATCTGCGACCTGGAAGGTCATGACGTGCCTAACTTCAGGGTGCGAGTGTCAGCCGCATAATCGATGGAGATATGCTTCAGTCTATCTGTATATGTGTGGAAAATTACTATGTTTATCTATTTCTTAGCCAATCAGAAGCATTCAACCTGAAGCAAGGACGTAGCTTAGACATTGGTGAAGGGTATAACTGCTGTGATCTGTGTCACTGAAAGCGGGGTTATGACCTACAAACTCCTGTGAGAGTCTTAAAGCTGACTTCTGCTGATGAAACTGCAAACTATCTTCAGTAAAACTTTCATTTATTATAAATCTGACTCCAGGTCTTCATTCTCATATCTGGTTCTGGGGCTTTGACTGTAAACCCCCTTACAATTGCATTTAAAATAAATAAATTAAATGAATAATAATTATTATTATTCCATTAACAAAATATATTATAATTAAAAATGAAATTCATAATAATAATAAAAACTACATAAATTATATCAAGTTTTAATCTTATTGGCTGGCTTTAGGCCATTTTTGGTCGTCAGGGTGCACAGATTTTTAGATTTGAAAAAAAATATCATTGAATGACCAGACGGAGTCGGAGACTAAAAGTAAGCAGGACACACGACTCCTCACCTCTTGCTGGAGAGACTCCACAAACCACTCGTCTCCTAGGAAATTGCAGGCCATGTCCACATCTCCATTATATACCAGCACACGGTATTTCTGTTGAAAAGATGTCATTGAAATCATCTGGTAGACACGGAAATATATGATTCATAAGCATTTATGTTCCCATCACTCACTAGTGCTCCAAGAAGCTTCAAGTACTGTTTCTTCACGTCCATGAACAGGCGGTTGTAGTTCAGATTGACTTCAGCACTGCAACAATTTCAAATTAAAGTCCTCGATCACAACATTTGCATTTTGCGTTATTAAAGTCCACTCAACGCACCTGCAGATGACCCAGTCCAAAGCATTGGGCGAGATGTGGAGGGCAGTCTTCACGAGCCGGTTGTTCAGGTACAGGGTTGATGGGGTAGAGTTGGTGCACGGAGGATCGAGACGCGTAGATTTAAACTGGGTGGCCACATCTCGCAATTTCTGATTCAACAAGAAGATTCATGTGGATTAACCCTCAAACACCATGAGCAGGCCCAGATATTTCTTCTTCCAAATACTTAAATTGATAGTTCACCCAAAAATGAAAATTCTGTCATCATTTACTCGCCCTTATGTTGTTCCAAACCTGTATGAATTTCGTTCTTCTGCTAAACACAAAGGAAGATATTTTGAAGAATATGGGTAACCAAACAGTTGATGGACCCCATTGACTTCCATAGTAGGAAAAAAAATACTATGGAAGTCAATGGGGTCCATCAACTGTTTGGTTACCCATATTCTTCAAAATATCTTCTTTTGTGTTTAGCAGAAGAACGAAATTCATACAGGTTTGGAACAACTTGAGGGCCAGTAAATGAATTTAAAAGGACCGTTCACCCAAAAATGAAGATGCTGTAATTTTTTACTGACTCATGTTGTTACAGTAGTATTAGTAGAGGTAGAGATTTTAATGCCATGTCAGCACCTGAGGCTTTTTTAATGGCAAAAGCCGAGTTACAAGATGCATATGAAAAAAAAATATATATACACATGTTTTACATTTACTGTAAATCCCATACACACTTTCACATCTTCAAACAGGAGTGCAGTGTTCGATAACGGGACACACGAGAACCAATGGTCTTTAACATTACTCGTGTCACAGTTTGATTACGCAAATGAAATAAGAGCTACAGCTAATAGGGAAATTTTTATTGTAAAGAATTGATCATCAAAATTGTTAAAGATGTTAAAAGAAATTCATACAAGTTTGAAATGACTGTAAAAATAAATACCGTAAGTAATAAATAAATACATACACACACTGTGTGTGTGTGTATTTATATATATATATATATATTTTATAATGACAGGAGGGTGTATTAGTAATTAACATGTGACAGTTTTCATTTTGAGTTTGACCCTTTGTGTTGTCTAACAGCAACCCACAAATCGGTTTCTGTACCTGGTTCTGTAATTTGGCCCATTGATGGTTGAGGAAGTGGTGGCCCAGGTCTCGGATCACAAATTGGTCATTTTCAAAGCTGAAATCAAAACACAGAACAAAATGACACTGCAACCTTTTTAAAAAACACATTCAGAGGAATGTCACATGTAACTGGTTCATGCTCACCTTAATCTCCCAGGAACACCTCCTGGACAGGTTGCATACAGGTTATAGATGTTGAGCCCTGACTCGTAGACTATGTGTTGAACTGTACTCACCTAAAGAGTTATAGAAAGAAAAGATGCTGTAAATAAAGAATATAGGACATCTTAATGCATCTCAATCCATTTGTAAACAGTTCAACTTACAGAATACGAGCAGTTCACATCCTGGCTATTGTAGAAGTTACACACTCCATCTTTGCAGCAAAACGTCTGCAGGTCATTCCACAAGCTAGACAAGAACAAATAAATAAAGACAAACACATACTAAAGATTAAAATACAAAACACACCAAACAAAAGTATGAGAAACAGTAATATTGACGCAGCCTTTACAGCAAGCATCAATATATAAAATTACAGTGCATGTTCAATAGAGCAACATGAGGGTTTCTGCAGGTTTCACAAAGTCAAATTTAAGAAAAAAAAAAACGTACAAAGGAAACGCAGAGTCTCAAATTTCCTTGCAAAGTAAATTAATTTATTCAAACTGAACAGTACTGAAGACAGCTTAGATGGATGCACAAAGCTGATTGGCTGTTGCATGTTGGTCTATTTTGTAGTCGTAATACAGCGAATTATATTTGGACTAGCGAAACAAGGAACTACAACACCACGCAATAAAAAAAAAATAAAAAAAAACATTCCAAAGCGCTGCGGGAGCATTACAATGAGATTTACATGGACGTAGGATAATTAAGAGCTGTTTAAAATGATCCAAGACCTAGAACACAATACTTAAGCAAATTTAAGACTTTTTAAGGCCTTAAATTGTGATTTTGAAATTTTAGACTTTTTTAGACTTAAAGTCGGCATGAAACGGAAGTTGAGATTGTCATTTTATCCTTGTTGTGACGTATATCCGAGTGAAACGGCTTCTGAAATTAGAAAACAAATGTAGGGCGGGGCTTGATTAGATCGTTGGAGGTTGGGTGTTGCAAACAAAATGGAGGCAGATTTGAATGCCAGTTTACATTCAGTTGTGGAGGATTTCTCTCCACCGGACTCCCCACCGTTACCCTCCCATGAAGGATTTTTTTATTGAGGAGCCTGGCGACGAGAAAGAGGACGAGCAGCTAAATTTTCAGGCAGGAATCAGCCCATATTTGTACGAGCAGATTCTCTGAGAGGCGGTGCACCGATGGCCGTACCCTTTCGCCATGGCACGTGACCGAAAGAGAAGAGAGGTCATTTCGAGGGGGGAGGGAAGGGTAATGTATTTGATTAAAGATTATAAGGGTACATGGATAAAAAAAAAAAATGAAGTGCACAGATAAATCATTTATAATAAACACTACAATATTACATTTAAAAAGAAGATTTGTCCAATTTGATTTCATGCCGACTTTAAGACCCCGCAGAAACCCTGGAAGAGTCATATTAGGTGAGAAAACACTGTACCTGGTACCAAGAAGCCCATGATAGTATGCAAAATACACCAATGAATTGTCATTTAGCTCATAGCTGGACAAGCCATTTCCAACCGCAATTCCCTACAAGACACAAATACACACGTCAAACAGAATCACATGGATCGAGACACTCAATGTCTCTATTGTTTATGGACAGGATGGTTATAATGAAGCCCGTTCAACCTTTAAATTGATGCTGCTGTCCTCCATGACGATCTCAGCCAGTGTGGGAATGTAAATGCCCCCGTAACTCTCGCCAGTCAGGAAAAACTCATTCTTGCTGAACTCAGGAAACAACTGGAAAAACGTTTTCAGGGCCAAGTAGTTGTTCATGGCCACCTGGAAAAGTCAGCGAGCACATGGTTACCATTTTAGTTTTTTTTTGTCCAGTGCAATCAAGCACTATCTGCTGTACTATGCAATGTGAATATGATTTGAATCATACCTCTGTGTCATTTGTTGAGTACTTCTTGTCATCCGAGTAGGAGAAGCCGACACCTGCTGGTGACTCCAGGTATAAGACATTTGCAATCTGGAAAAACACCCCATGTTTATCTATGTAGACTCATGACTTTCTAAAACATCCATCCAGGTTATAAAATGTCCAAACAAACTCTTCATTTAAAAATCACTGGACTACGTAAAAAGAAATGACGACACACCGCTGTTTCTTTATTTGGATGAACGCCGTCGTTTCTTTTTATGTAGTCTAATGACTTTTAAATAAAGAGTTTGTTTGCACACCCTTTATTTAATACAATAAAGCCAGTTTGCTATAGCCAAGCATATAAGAGCATAAGAGCATGTGACTGGATGAAGGAAGTGTCATAGTCCAGTTACCAAAAATGCTGCTTAAGATGAAAACTGGCCCTGTGACTTCCTCATTTCACATCATACAAATTACTCATTTGGCAATCCTGAAACACTTATCTAATTTAAAAATAAAATAAAAACAGAACCCATACCTTGTTCCAAGAATAAGGATTATATTCTAGAGTTGCTCCATCATCTTGTATCTGTAAAAAAAAAAAAAAATTACATATATAATAAAAAGCATGTGTCTTTTAAATAGTATAGTTATATAATGAAGTGCTGTGACTTCTCTCACCAGAAAAGGTCCGTGCTCTGTGAGCAAACCATCCATGGAACTGCATCCTGGTCCTCCGTTAAGCCACAGAACAACCGGACTATTGGCCGGATCCTTCTGAGATTCAACAAACCTGATCAAGTGGAGCAGAACACATTAACGCTGGACATTTACATATGGGAAATAAAAAAAATCTTCCTATGTCCATTTAAATGAAAGTGAAAATCAGCCAGTCCTACTGACCAGTAGTGGAGGTGCTTGTTGTCCGCTACATTGAAGTATCCAGAATAATGCTTGAAGCTGGGCTGTTTTGAAAGTCCAGGCAAAAATTTGATTTCATCTGCATCTGGAGCTCCAGAAACCTCCAGCACCCCCAGCAGCAAACACACCAACACAAGATGCATCTGAAACACAGCAACACTTACTGACCTAACCTCACAATAAATTAAACATCACCAATTATAACAATCTGAAGCAAAAGTGTAACCAAAAACCAAAGGGAAAGCTGTATAACCTTTTATGTAACTAACCAGGAAATTAAGTGTTTATCCTATATGACGGTGATAATCAAAACAGAAAAAATTAGGCACGTGCTATTTAGGAAAAGACATATTAAAATTATCCATAGTGTTATTATTTCAGTCTTACCTTTCCAGGTGTGGGAACAAAAATGTGAACCGACCAGTGAAGTGTTTAAGTAGACCCAAAATTCATGTGACTTCAACTTTCCCGTGATGAAGTCACATGATGGTTTTCTTCTTCTTCTTATGTTTTTATTAGCGGTTGGCAAACCAGCTTATTCGGTGCTTTACCGCCACCTACTGAACGGGAGTGTGGATCAGAAGTTTTGGCAGAATGTAGGGGGAAAAAAATATAAAAAATCTCATAATTAGCAATAACCTTTATACTCGCTCCATCAGACCCGCTTCTTTAAAAAATGTCATTACCTGTATATGTATTTTCCTCAATGATGTTCCGAGGGTATGATGGTTTTCGTCCACCGTTTCAAAATAAAAGTGTATACTAAAACGCACAAATAAACCGTAAACTGTCTTATATATAAATATCTTTATATATATATATATATATATATATATATATATATATATATATATATATATATATATATTACTATTGAGGTCAGTATTGGACCTTGGGTACCTTGTACAAATGCGTGTTTGGTCTGTTCCGTAAGTAAGTAAATGATAAATTCATAAATGGTAAATGTACTTTATTTGTATAATGTATGGAATATATCATGTACTTACTATTTTTTTTTTTTTTTGCATTATAAGTCTGTTCAAACGGAAATTAAATATATTTTTTCAAAGGATAATTATTTGTAGCTCAATTATTGTTCACAAAGGAACTTTAGCGCAGGTACTTTTATTTTGAAAACAGCGCCATCTACACCGTCTCTCTAAGCGATTGATTCGCAGTCGCACGCAGTTCCGCACAGGATCATCCCCGCAAGGTTGCGGCAGTTTTGCAGCAGAACATTCATTGTGATTATTTGCCCAAACAGGACGACGCAAGAAAATCGCGGGATATTTTCCAGGTTCACATGGTAACGGTAAGGATTTGATCCGACAAAACTCTTCTCAGGAATGTGAAATTCTGGAGCTCCCAACTGAATCCATTGTTATAAAATGTAAGCTAGTTTGCTAGCTGACCTATTAGTCGAAGCATCAATTATTATTTTTTTGATTGTTAAAGGCCGTGAAGGTAGTTTTGGTTCTAAGAATACAATGTTCGGATCGGTTCAACAACGCGACGAGTAAAAAAACTAAAAAAAAACTCACACGAACGAATTTCAGAGCAGCGGAGCATCAACTGTGTGGCGTTATGGAGCAACATGGCGTCCTTTCGAAATCCACACCAGGCAACGTGTGCGCGGTCTTCCCTGCAGCTTTTAAGTGTGCAGAATATGCACAATCTGCATCTTTTTCTTGTGAATGTGCGGTTTATATCGTTTGCAGTAATATTTGCGCATTCTTTTACGCGGTTTGATTTTGACTGACGTCGCTGCACGGTCACAAAATGGCGGAAGGGTTGTTGTGGCGCTGACGAGGATTCCCGCGGTCCATTTTCATTTGTCCGTTTTCTGTGGCTCTGCTTTTTTGAGTAAGTTAGTGAGAAGTCCTGTAAATAAGACAATGGAGGCTGATAGGCAGTGTAACAATTAAAATATTGAATTACAAGAAATTTTACCGTTGCAGTTTATTGCTTTGATTCTTTGAACAACGCGAGACCAGCATGAACTGGTTTGTTTCTGGCTGTACACCTTAACACATTTATTAAAGATTGTAATAGTGTCAAAGTACTGAATCATAATAAGTGTAACTTTTTAATAATATTAAGCCCGTTTGAGTATAAAGAACGCCTGTTCACCAAAACGTGAAAAACATTAGAAGACAGTAACATATGTAAATATTCAGATTTAGTCATTTTATTGCAATTGACCAAGTATAACAAACCCATAAAAACAATTGAACTCATCCTGATGACATATTGAGAAATTTATTGTTAAGAAATTACACTCTTTCTGTCTCAATCTCATTTTAACAGTACACTACATTGTATAATATCTTGTGATTGACAATATATCAATCTGAATTACATGGTTTTTCACTCTCCATTGTTGGATTTTTCAGACTTTCATATTCTTGAGGTAGAGTCTTGAGGAAAAAAAAATGTGGAATGGACATTTGTCTGGTAAGGTGTTGCACAGCTTTGGAAAAGAGTATGATGATTGTTTTGCAACTTACCAAAATGTCACAGATGAGAATCCTGAAGCGGACCACAAAGACTACAGCATCCGTGAGCTCTTAACTTCCAACTTCTATGTTGAGAACATGCACAATAACGAGTGGGCCAAGAAACAGCTTGACGATTCCTTTCGGATGATTTCTTTCATCATTTTCTTCAAACATCGCCTTCTATGTTGTGGATACCGACATAAGATTTTTTTTTTTTTAAACTTTGAACAACCTGCAAGTGATTTTTGGGGAGCATTTTATGTTTATCCCCATGAACTTTTGTCTATTTGGTTGGCACAATTCAAGATTTGTGGTTACCTTCAACGCTACGGTCCCATATTTTCCGTCGCGTGTTCTGTGGAAACATGTTTGTGGTCCGTTCATCCAACAGGTTTTCCTTTCGTCTTCACCCACAATCTTTCATCAAATACTTGAGAAATATTTCATTTAAAAAGCAGCGAGCGCAATCTGAGCTGCGTGTTTGCATGAGAATGCTACGGTCATGAAGTGAGCTGGAAAACTCTAGGCCTCCTGCGATCAAAGGCTCACTAAGACAATTTTTTCAACGTTTTATTTAGTAAATAACCGTGTTTTTGTCACTTAATCCGACAGCAAAACACTCCGTATGATTAACACTGTACTTAAAAATTCTACCTGTTGTGAAGGCTCTCAAGTTTGTCTTTAAAGTCAACATGTAGATTAAAAAAAGTAGATCGGTTGAATGATTATTCATTCAGACCTACATGTGGAGTAAAGTAAATCTTGTCAATTTTGATTTCATGTTGACTTTCAAAGACTTCTGCAGTGTTTTGTTACTTTGCCCAGACATTTTACCTCTGGAATCTCTCTTTTCTTACATGTCGATGCATCGTCAATTTCAAGACCTTGGGGGAAATATAGCTAATCAAATAGTCTTGTATCTAAAAATCAACTGCAAGCGTTCCTTGAAAACTGGCCGTTGAACCTAAAGCTCGTAGAGGCATGTCGCACAGAAGAAGTCGGAGTGGTACGCCACCCTCGTACACCACCAACAGCAATGACCCTCGTGACCTGGAGCGAAGGATTTTTGTTGGAAATTTGCCCACGGCGCACATGGCGAAGAAGGACATGGAGGATCTGTTCAGGCCATATGGGAAAATACAGGGTTAGTAGCGTATAAATTCAACGACTTATTTAGACGTTTCGAAAAAATAGTATTTTATAGTGTTCGCTGCAGTTTTAATTTGTTTTATCCACCGTTCTTTACACTTTAGTTGCGATTTTCAGAAAGCAAGGGAAGCTTAGGCCAAAAATCCACCAACAAACGCCTTTTTTTTTGCGTAAAACGAAATGATTGTTCCCTTTTTCAGCTTTGTCCCTGTTTCGTGGGTACGGATTTGTGCAGTTTGAGCGAGTGGAGGATGCCGAGGCTGCTAAAGCCGGACATAACGGTCGAATTTATAGAGGTTATAAACTAGGTAAGGTCTGATTTAATTAGTATTTAAACATTGAAGTAATTTGAGCAGTTTTTACATCTAAGTTAACTTTAGAGAAATAAAACTTAGGACCAGTTAATTGTATGATTCTAATTTTACTGTAATAACTGCAATGTGGTGAATCTAATAAAGCCTAAATTTAACTTCAAATATGATCCTTATGTTAATTGCATAAGGGCCTAGTTTTTCCCCTCTACTCTACGTTTTTGTTTATGTGACGGTATAAATAAAAGCTATAAATCCAATTGGCACTTTTCACAAATAGATCACATATTGACTTTTTGAAATGAATAAAAAAAAGTCCTGATGTTTTCCCATTTCACAGGTTCTTTTTGTCTGTAATTGTAATCTTGTTAAATTCATACAACGGTATTGTAATTTTGATGACAATGGTTTTTGATTTTATTTTTAGTTCACTGGCCCATTACACTATTTGTGCAAAGTTCCAGTTATTGTTGGTGGTTTAGTCGAGAGGTATTTAATAAGTGTTTAGAGCTGGGGAATCTCGAATACTGACGTACACAATGGCGCACAGGTTCACTAGATCCTTTACTGCTTTTTTCCCCACATTGTAGTATTTACTTTCAACTATGGTACTATTGAAACTTTGGAAATGCTTCTAATTTAAACGCAACAATTTTAAATGTTCATCCTCTCAGTAAAAAAAAATCGGTTGGCTCTGAAATATTTCCGTCTTTTGTCATGTTGAACGTTTGGATTGGTTTATTTTCAGATGTAAATATGGCAGCGGAGAGACAGCGACAGAATAAATCCAGGTCAAGCCCTCCACGCAGGTAAAGTATCGTTGGGATTTTTGCTAATGAAGACGTCATCTATCGAGAATTTTGGTAAACGTTTTTCCCTCCACAAAGGAATTCATCGAAAGAGCAAGAGTAGATCAATATCGTTGTCGGGTGCGCAAAATCGGTTCAATCAATATCTCTCGTGGCTATTCGATTTTTAGTTTGTTCTATTTTTTTCTTTCCCTTTTCCTCACTTTTAGTTGTATCAGAATTAACTGAAATAAAGTTGAAAGGGTAATTTGAGTGCGTTTCCCTTGGTGTGTCTGTGTCTAAACGGTGTGTTACTTATTCTGTTCTCTTACTATACACAGTTTTCAAAATCGTCAACTGGGAATCGCTGCTTCCTTCTTAAAAACCTTCTCAAAATCCTAATTATTTCATGTGTTCAGATGGGATGGAAACAATTAAAACGAATAATTTAAGCAATTTCAGTCGTTCATTGAATTGTTGGATATTATTTATATTTGGAGGTTGTTGTTTGTCTTTCCAGTCCATTCTTCATCACCTCCTCGATTTTAAAAGAAAATAACTATTGTTATTGCACTGACGTGGCAAAGAGTTGCGGTTCATCGCGTTGGTTTATGCTAAATAAGTTTTAAATTAAAAACCCATGCTCCCAGGCTTAAAGGACAAAAATTATTTTGATTTGACAAAATAAAAAAACCATTATCACCATGTGAATCCTGTTGCTCTTTTTTTTTTTTTTACATAAATTTGACTTGGAAACTCGATGGAACTAAAGGATACTAATGGTAACCTCAAAAAGATAATGTTTGCCATTACATTCGTTTTTGGAGAGAGCTACGTTCAGAGTTTGCAACAGAGAATTTTTTTAAGCGAAATTAAGTGAATTTTGCGAAAGATAGGATTAATAAATGGCACCACCCTCTCATTTCTATGCTCTCCCGCAACAGTGTCTGGCTGTCGCAAAACTCTGAAAGCGTATAAATGACTGATTTTCTGGTAGAAATGATTTGTTTTTTTAAAGTGTTCTTTGTGTTTACCATTTGACTAACATTTTGTAACAGTTTTTAAGTACTTAAAGGTGCTCTATGTAACTTTTAGCGGCCTCTAGTGGTGATGTTTAAGATTGCAACCAAATTTTACAAGAGTGCTCGAACTCATAGACAATACCGTCTATTACGCAAATATCTCGGCGAATACTAGACGGATTCGGCGAGCACCGAGCTCGTTGGGACCATCTAGTCGAGCTGAAAGGAACCATATAAGTTCCATAGTTTTTGGTGGTGTTTTCGCGGAGATATTAGCAGAAAACCATCGGGCGCTCTGCAAAATTGCGGACGCCGGTGACGTCACGATCTCAGAAGAAAATCGCTCGTATCTCTGGAACGCAAAGACCCAGAGAGCTCAAATTCGGGGGAGGAGGTCCCAGGGGAACCCTTGCCCGAACACTAGAGTGGTGGGCCTCGGGGATGCCCCCTATCGGATCGCCGTTTGCTGGGACCCCCGATTTCGAACGGCTATAACTCGGGGAGCCGGGCGAGTTGGACCTCGGGGGTGGGCTCGTTCGAAAGGCCCCGTCCAGCACTACGAACGATTAGAGTCTTGGGAATATTGATCAAAGGTTGACCGAGATATAAGCTGAAAAACGTGCACCTTTAACCGGACGTAACTCCCTGACCGTCTACAATAGACTGTACATAAGGAGAGAGGCTCGGGAGCGCGCATGCACGTCACATCCGATGGATTTCACGGTAAATCCGACCCGGAGACTTCACATAGAAATAGGAATACTGGCCTTCAGAGGTAATAGCAAAACTCGACAAGTGGATCATTTTAATGTGTGATTACAACCCCTTCACACACAGGCAATAAAAAAAGGATTCATTTTAGTAGAAAAGTTACATAGAGCACCTTTAATGGTAAAATTAGTCTCTGAGTTGTCTAATAGAGCTGTTTTTGGGGCTAAAGTGTTTAGTTGGCATGTGTTGACTAGGTGTATTTTGTCTGTTTAGGCCATCCAGCGCTTACGGGGACAGTCGAGAGTCCCGTGCTCGTTCTCGGTCCCCGGCGCATGGGCGAGATTCTCGAGACCACCGTGAGAGTCGAGAGATGAGGGGGGATAGTCGTGAGGCACGTCCCGGTCCACCTCGTGATCATGAAGCTCGAGCCCCCCCAGCCGAAGACCGATACAGGGCGTCAGAGACCAGGGAGAAAGACCCTTCCTACAGGTGCGCACACAATGCATTTGGTTTATTTTGTAGGTTTGCATTTAAATCACTTTTGATTTCAGGTGACATCACCTCATCTAAACAATATTACGTTTCCACAGAGAGGAAGGTTATGATCGTTATTACCGTGGTGGTGCAGATTACGAATATTATCGGAAGAAAGAGGAGCCGTACCCAGAGCGCTTCAGAGAACCCTGGAATGGCAGAAGAGAGTCAGAGGGTTGGTTTGACATTTACAACTGTTTTGAAATAAAGCTAATATTTTGCTTGAAGAAAATTCATCCTGTTTTGAAGATAAAGTTTTTTTTTGTGCATTTTGACAATTTAAGAAAATTCAACATGTAGCAATTTAAATAAATGTCAATGAATGGCAGTACAACAAATAATGCCATTGTTTTTGCGTTAAGGTAACGAGAATTTTGTGAAATGTATTATGAAAATATCACAATGGAAAAAATCTTTAACATACTTTAAATATGTAAATATATCAAATATTCAATACAGGCAGGTTGTTTTGAGTTTTCCTAAGTAGTGTTTTATTTGTGGAGGTGGTAATGCTCGAACAGTCACCGTTAGCAGCATGGGTAATTCAGTTAGCTTAGTTTATGGTGGAACAAAGATTCATTTATATGTTTTGCTCACAGAAGGGATTTGCTAAGCGTTTAGTTCTGAATTTACAGATGAGCGAGTGCGTCCCGAAGAGCGCCGTAGGAACGAACTTTACCGTCAATATTATGAAGAGCTGCAGAGGCGCATTGATGCTGAGAGACCAGTGGATTGCTCCGTCATAGTCGTCAACAAGCTGCAAAAGTGAGTCCTGCGAGCACATTTCTTGAAGCATCTTTAACAAGAAATGTTTTCCTAGAGACACAGTGACATTATCTGCTCTGTGCAGGGAATATGCTGAGACGGTGGGCAGGAAGGTTCGGGATCTGGGTATGGTTGTGGATCTCATCTTCCTGAATACTGAAGTATCCTTGACCCAAGCTCTGGAGGATGTAAGTCGGGCTCGTACACCCTTTGCCATTATAATCACCCAGCAGCACCAAGTACATCGTTCCTGTACTGTCAACATCCTCTTTGGGACCCCGCAAGGTATGTATCCTTCCACAAAAGGTTTGATATTTGATGCCAATTTACTTGCATATCAGAGTTATTCTGAAAAATCCAATATGACGTGTATATTCTTGAACCAAAACCACTTGGAAAACACTCTTAATATACAATAGTGTATGTTCGTACTGCACTTCATTCTGACTACAATCCATTTAAGCTATATTGAATGTTTTACCACAAGATCCCTTTCTCTTGCAGAGCACAGGAACATGCCCATCCAGGATGCCATGGTGCTGGTGGCCCACAACTTTGAATCCTTTAAAGTTGAACACCGCACTAAAGAAAGGGATGAGATTGCGAGGAAGGCGGCCAAGATGGCGGATGATGTGCTGATGAGAGAACATGAGAGAGAGGGCCATCCCGTCTCCCTTCTGACCCCCATCACACTGCTGTCGGAGGGCCGGTAGGTCAACAAACACTACCCTTCAAAAGTTTGTGGTCTTGTAATGTTTTTGAAAGAAGTCTCTTCTGCTCACCACGGCTGCATTTATTTGACCAAAAGAAAGTCATATTTTGAAATATTACAAATTAAAATAACTTTTTTTTAATTTAGTGCATTTTAAAATGTAATTTATTCCTGTAATCAAAGCTGAATTGTCAGTATCATTACAGTCTTCAGTGTCACATGATCCAGAGTGACCTCAGAACCTGGAAGACTAATCCATTTTATAATAGGATTTTTCAATTTGAGTAAAATAAAGCCTATGGTAATCATAACATGATACTTTGGCGTTTTGTTCTACAACGTTGACTGCACACATTCACCCCGAACTGCCTTACTAGTCACTTATTAAAAATGTATGTTTTCAAAAATTAACATAACTGCTTCAAAATCTGCGTTTTCTCTGGGTATGTGTATATTACGTTGTAGAATAAAACGTCAAAGTATCGTCAAGTTATGTTTACCACAGGCTTTATTTTACACGCAAATTGAAAAACCTCATTATAAAACACCATAGGAACCTCGAAGGAACCGGCGGTGTATTAGACTTCTGGTTCTGATGTCACACCTGCACCACTATATTACTGCTTCTCTTGTTAGAGTTATCAGAAGTAGTTTGAATTTTCTGTAGCAAATTGATTCGTAAATGGAATAAACCAATAGAGTTCACTAATGTTTTATTTGTTCTATTGAAATTTGTTTCTTTGTTTACCTGAATAATAACTAGAAGGAAAAAAATAATTTTGCTTAAAGGTCACATGCCATTTGTTTTAATAAAATTCAAATATGTATATTATCTCATTTTCATTTGTTACTGAAATTTGTATGGAGAATCTTGAAATTGTATTAAATTTTCATCTCTCAGGTTTATGACTTCAGATGAGATGGCCAGGCTAATTGAATATCTGAGAGACAAACGCGATCGTCTTGTCAGAAGCGGTGCTGATGCAGGTAACTTCATTAATTCTCAACTCAATGTTGTATTTTTCTGTGTTCACGCCATGTCGTAGTTACCGTAAATAAAGGCTTTTTTTACTCCCTAATATCGGTATCGGCCCCCAAAAATGCATATCGGTCGGGCTCTACACTTTACCAATCAAGCCTTACCTTTCACTGTTTTGGGCCACTTTTGACTGGTACTGTATTATAATATACACACAAATAATTTCGTCCGATATATCGGTATCAGGCTTTTTTTATTCCCTAATATCGGTATCGGCCCCCAAAAATGCATATCGGTCGGGCTCTACACTTTACCAATCAAGCCTTGCCTTTCACTGTTTTGGGCCACTTTTGACTGGTACTGTATTATAATATACACACAAATAATTTCGTCCGATATATCGGTATCAGGCTTTTTTTACTCCCCAATATCGGTATCGGCCCCCAAAAATGCATATCAGTCGGGCTCTACACTTTACCAATGGACCCTTACCTTTCACTGTTTTTGGTCTCAAGGTTCACACCCTCCTCCTGCGGCCCTCGAACCTCAGACGACACAGGCTTTATCGGCGCCAGCTCAACCCACGTACTCCAGCCTGACCCTCCATTCCACCCATCTGACCTCTGCATCGGCCCCGGCCCCCACCGCCACCAGCCAACAGCAAGAGCTCCAGGCTAAAATCCTAAGCATCTTTAACAGCGGCGCGTCTTCAGTGTCCAGCCCGGCTCAGCCTCCCCAAACACAGGGTTACGCCTCCAGCCTCGGCCCTCAGAGCGTCGGCCTCCAGTCTTCTCACGGTGCCGCCGGCATACCCAAAATAGCTGCTGTCCAGCCTCAGAGCATGATGAACCCTCGGCCGTCTCTAAGGCCCCCTGGTGCTCGTATGCCGGGGCCGACGGGCCCTCCGAGACCGGCTGTCACCGCAGGCACTGGGATCAACTTCGACAACCCCAGCGTGCAGAAGGCCCTGGATACGCTCATCCAGAGCGGCCCCATTAACCACTTGGTGAATATGGGATCTGCGGGTCAAGGGCAGCGGCCGTCGCAGGGAATGGGCCAGAGCATGGAGCCGTCGCCCATGTCACATTATTCCCGCCATTACTGAAATTATTCAATTTGATAAGAATCGAGAAGTCGGCGTTGCTCTGAATCATCGTAAATTATTCTTATTTTTGGTTCCTGTGTCATTTGTGATTAAAAAAAGAAAAACACACAAACACATTGTGTGAAGTTTTACGGTTTTCTTTTTACTCTAATGTCTTAGATGATACTTTACAGAGCATGATTGTGTAATGCATCAATAGATAGAAAAAAACATTTCTGTTGTTTTATATGGAATTTGTGCATTGTATATACCAGCCAACTTCTGAATTAATAAATTCATTTTTAGATACAAACATTGACTCTCTTCAATATGTTCCACAGCTTTTTGTTTCTAAGCTAAAGGCTGATAGACACAACCTTTGACCCAATTTGCAGTCTGGATGCACCAACGTTAATTGCTTGAAAATCAGAGTGTAGATTTTGGCAGTCAGAATTCACAGAAAATTCTAGTGTGTGAATTTTGTTGTTGATATTTTAAACTGATTGCTAAATTGTTCTCATTTGTCATATGCTCCTACACTTAAACAGGTTCTTTATTCGTATCAGTAGTTTCATGAAGAACATTTAACATTCATGCAGTCTTTGTAGTGGAAAAGTTCTTCGGTTTATAAATGTTCTCCACACTAAGAAAAAATTATATTCTATTAAGAACTGTTCTTTTCTGTATTCTATTAAGAACCGACCCGCATTCGTTTAAACACAATTGAGTGAGAGAAAAAAAACAAATCAAAGTTGACAACACTCATATATAGAGTTCATATATCATACTACATTTAAAATATTAGTCGTGGAATAATGCACACAGTCACTTAGGTTTTAAAATATATAAAGCAATATAATCTGACCAATTCTTTAAAAAGTAAGATAGTATTCTAGTCAACAAATATCAATGGTCTAAAATCCTGCTCGTCATTAAACGTCAAATAAGATCAGATTCAATGTGATTGTTTGGCATTGTACACCATTTTTACTTTCAGTGTGGAAAAATGATTTGTTCCTGGAAATGATGCCTGGTTTACATTAAATGCCAAATCCATTGTTTAAAAGTAAACAAGAGTATGCTACTTTAATTCAATAAAACACTATTACTGGAATATGACTATTTAAATAAGTAAAAACAGTATTTAGTTTATAAATTAAGGAAGATCTCAACACTTACCTAGCCTGGTTAAAACCAGACCATTCTCAGTTGTAGCTAACTGAGTTATGGTCTGGCAAAGCGTCATAGACAAATCATTTCCAGAGGGGCGTCACCAACGGACGTCGCGGATAGACCTAAACCCAATCAGAGTGATGAAGGAGATGACGTATGCAGAGCGGCGGAGAAACATCTCCGAGTGTTGTTCTTTGCTCGGTTTTTAACTAAAAGGAAACGTTCAAATGGCTTAAAACAGACGCGATAGCTGATTGGAACGAGTGATGTTCGACGGCGGCATCCATCTTTGTAATGTAGGCTACAAAATCATGTTCAAAATCCCAGCGCTGTCGTCATCGTGTAAAGCCCGCCCCAACGTTTCTGATTGGTGCCGTGATTTCGGCGGATTGGAAATGGGCTTGAATGAGCTCTTTGCCAGACTAACTTTCAGAGCAAATCTAAATTTGCCGGAAGTTGTCTGGGTATTCCCAGGCTAACACTCACCGTCTCGGGTCAACAAACGCTGGTTTGGTGAACACTTTTGTGTGACAACTTGAATCGATTGATTTTGCGCCGGAAAACTGGAATAAATACTTCAAAAGAATTGACTGAGAAATGAATCAGAACGTGAGAGGAAACTGGATTCAAGATGATGTTAATCGGTTTGTTTCGATATATTTTCAGCACTTCACAGTAAAACCCTCACAGGAAAATGTCTTTAAATCACACCCAGTTCAGATCTGGGAGTCTGTAATGACCTTGTGATATGAATCAGGTGTGTAACATAAATAACAGCCTTTGAAAACCTGCTGGGAATAAAGACTCCATCAAATAATCCGTAATAAAATGGTATTCGTTTATTGCATTTTGTGCTGACAAATCTATAAAATGGAATGGGAGTTTTGCAGAAGCCATAGAGATAAAGCATTTGAAATGTAAGATAAAACTACATTATTTTCTTTATGTACCATGAAACACAATAGAGAATACTCATTATTTATCTTTTTAAAATATTCAACTTACACTGACACAGAAAATAAACACCTCAACACTAACTAGTTCTGCTATATTTACAGGACCCTCGTCCACCCTTGCCTGTGGTCCCAGATCTGCTGTGTGTACGTCACTGTACACACACACACTCACACACCACTGAAAAACACACAGGAACACACTACATGGCAATATGACCGTGAAACCCCGAAACAGACAAAAAATTATACTTGTGAAAGATCTGAAAATCATTTCTTCTCCACTACATTCCCTTTCAAATGTTCATACAAAATGTTTTCATTTCAAATGAATCAAAAACAAGCCTGAGGGATTCAGCCATTTTCCGTGTAAAACTAATGTTCTGATCTAGAATTAATTGCAATATCATTTGCAAAATCAGTGAACAGCCCAAAGCGAGCGAGTCGAAGAGCCGTTCAAAGAAGCAAAGCCAAGACAACGCATCATTTTGTTTATTCATTTCACTTATTATAGCTGTCTAAGATTGTTTGCTTCAGCAATATCGAACTTGCAGCCATGCTGTAATAAAGCAGAAAGACATAAACATACATAAATATATAAGAAATGGTCCAATCAAATTAGTAGGGGAGTCACTATATATTTGTTAATATTGTAGCAAATAGTCATTGTAGTTTAATTTGAGTACAAATCATGATTTTAAAAAAGATCAACCATAAGCATTGCACTTTTAGAAGATTCGTTAACATATAGCTGCCAATTTGTGCATTTAAGGCATGAGTAGAAACTGGAGCAAATAATAATGATTTTACAGCTTAACATAACAGACCCTCGAGTTTCTTTTTAATTCATTTAGAATGACAGTTTGCACATATCCAGGATAACATAAATAACTTTGGTAATCAGTTCTTTAAATAAGTAACTGCGCTAAAAGCAAAATGGTCTTTGTCTTGGCTAAAATACCTATCATAAAAATAGACCCCATTAACAAATCAATATTCATTCACACTAGTGGATCCAAAGAAATCATTGTGCACAACAAGAATACCAAACATCTGGTAAAAAATAAAACACATTTACAATCAAAACAACTGAAATAAACCGGCGTGAACATAATACTGTATATCACAAAACATTTAAATATTTATATATATTTATATTAGCTTGTTCAGGATAATGTGCATGCGTTGAACAGGACAACAGACCCGGGTCCTGGCTCTATTTCAACTGCTTCAGGTGGTTTAGATTCAGATTTCAACATTTGGACCCTATCAGAGCTCGTGGACGGATCGCTCACATGCATGAAGAGCTGTTTCGTTTTCACCAAAGATACTGGAATGTCAAACAAAACCTCAGCGGTAAACGCCATGGGACTAAACTCTTGAAAATAAAGGTTTCGATACGAACCAAAGGGGTTTTACAGTCTGGTGTCATTTTAAAGGGATAGTTCAAACAAAAAATGTGAATTTTGGGTAACACTTTATTTTACGGTGTCCTTGTTACATATGTTACATGTACTTACCGTAGTAATAACAGTAAATTATGCATAATTACATGCAACTAACCCTCAACCAAATCCTATCCTAACCCTATAGTAAGTACATGTAGTTGCTTAATATTACTCAGTACTTAAATATATAATTACACTGTAACAAGGACACCTTAAAATAAAGTGTAACCGAATTTTGTTATCATTTACTCGGCCTCAAGTTGTTCCCAAACCTGTATGAGTTTCTTCTGTTGAACCCAAAAGAAGATATTTTGAAGAATGTTGGTGACCAAACAGTTGATGGTCCCCATTGACTTTCAGAGTAGGAAGAAAATACCATGGAAGTCAATGGGGACCATCAACAGTTTGGTCACCAACATTCTTCAAAATATCTTCTTTTGCGTTCAACAGAAGAAACTCATACAGGTTTGCAGGGGGAAGTAAATGATGACACACTTTTCATTTTTGGGTGAACGATCCCTTTGAGCTCTTGTTGTTCTTAAGAAAAATAACCCAGAAACCAAAACAATGATCTGAAGAACCTACGATACCAACTTTTTCAATCTTTTCTGAAGCTAAAGAACCATCGAAAAACCTTTATTTTCAACAGTGTAGGATTAAAACAAAGCGAGATTCACATATTGTTTTGGTTTTTTGGGAGAACATCCAGTGGCGCGGGTCAAACTTCAGAATTGTTATTCAGAGCCCTTTTTGTTTCCGAGATGTGTCGAACGCCTCGATATTCCTTGGCGAAGGAATACAGAACACTTGATTTCATTTTTGCTACACACAAGCCAGGCATTTATCGTGAGATGGTGAATAAAGGAAAAAAAGATAGACTGTGAATGTGGTGTCCAATGTGTCAGTTTGAATAGAGCCAAGCCCAGCAGTGGAAGCGCTTCTTTAGAGTCTTTAATCGATATTTATACGGTGATCACATCGATACAGTGCTCGTAGGTTTGAAACAGTGAAAGGGTGAAAAGTGGGAGGGAAATGTCACCACATCAACTCAGTGATTCGTATTAGAAATATATCTTCATTTTTCTTTTCTTTTTTACATCTACGTATAGTCTTTTTGTAATTTTCAATAAATTACAAGAAATGCTAGAAACTCATGCCAAATAAACAGCAAACACGCACTTTTTATTTAATTTTTTTTTACAGCATAATAAAATCTGAATGTTCAGGTAGTTACTGCAGCGATAACTGCGATACACACTCTCGCCGCTAGAGGCATCAGCGCTAAAATGGATCTGGCATGCTCGTGATTCTGGCAACTCAATCGTCACTGGACGACGTAAATAACGTTAACTTTGTATAAAGTGCATTTCTATCTCAGCCACCATAGAACAGATGTGACGCACACTCTAGCATACGAAGCGCGCCGATGAACTACATGTTTCAGGACTATTCAACGAGAAGCAGACTCGTGGGCGAACTAGCAACTAAAAATACGCCATACATACCATTTCCCGTCAAAGTAAATATTGCACGTTACCGTTAAAAACAAAAAAGTTCGTAGAGCATTTTTTCCGGTGTGTTCTAAAAGCGTCCTAACAAACACAACAGGGAACGACGACCCTGTAGCTACAGTGTCTCAAGAGCGATTTTATATACAAAGCCAAAAACAACTCGCCTATCTAAGTGTAGGCTACGCGTTGCCTGGATATCGTGGCAACAATTTTAAAAAGCTGCCTAGACATTTTTCCAGGAATTGCTCTTTTCACATTACGAAATCAAACAAACTTGTCCGACACACACCATGCAAACAGGAGTAAAATGAAGCATTTCGTTAAGTGTTCGTCATAAACATCTTCGCGCAAACTAATCGTCGAAACGTCATCAGAGGCTCAGTCTACGCAGGCAGTACTTCGTTAAAAAATGTGGCGTTTCGATACACATTTTACGTTTTGTTCAGATTCAATGAACGTTGTTGTCGCTTGAAATTACCACTGTTCAACGAAATAAGGAAATATAAAAGAAACAAAACATGATAAAGCTGATTATATAAGGCTGAAGTCGTTTATGCAAACTCAGCGTAAACCCCTCCCCTCGTAAATATACCTTAAAATATTTATTCTTTCTCTCTATGTACACGAACAATCCATATCTATTCATACACTAGCAGCAGCATTCATAACTTATGAGAGGTTTCCCCATGTCCAAACATAAAAGAATCTGTAATATCTTTGTAAACTACTGTAGGCTATTACCAGTGAGTACATTTATATATATATATATATATATATATATATATATATATATATATATATATATATATATATATATATGCAGTTGTTGGTATTTCTGTAAAAAACAACTATAAAATAGCCTATATCTCTACAAAAATAAATAATGCAATGAATATATGATTTCCCAATTTCACATATATTATGCTCTCAAAAATACAAACTAATCTAAACTCTATTCTTCTCTGGTCAAAATAAAGACCGAGGATAATCTCTGGTTAATTTTGCATCTCACTGTTTTGTGATTTGGCTAATACATTACAGTCGCACTGCATAGAGTTCAGATTTATGGATGTTATTTGATCCATCATGCTTTACTAGTGTCATAACAGCTCAATCTAATGCTGCGTTCACGTCGCATCGGAATTACTGTAATTACCAAAGCGACAACTGAGAGTCTATTCTGAGCTGTTTATGGACTCAGAAATGATTCATTACTATGGCAAAGCCCACAACGCCAAAATGGATCCATATGGGGCTTTGTTGATAATGACAGCAATCTACTTCTTCAAAAGTAACAGTAACACAAAATGACATCTCAAATGAAGCTTAAACTGGTAAAGCCACAGCCATTTTGGATATAAAGTCTTTATATAAAGTCGGATCCATCATATAATATGATTTGTTAAAGAAATTAGCAGTTTTAAAGTCTCAGTAACTAATAAAGTGAATGCAGCACTATAGTGTTTAAAGTGGCAATGTCATCAATATTTGTTTCTATTGACAATTTCACATTTTCATTCATATGGCACGAGTGAAATCAAAGTTTGGCAATACAATCAGATACGATAATACTCTATATATAGCTCTGTGACATTTCCGTGCGCCTCACCAAGTTCGATATAGATCTATGATATAGCTAATTTATACAGATTTGTAAATGCAACAAACAGAGAGGTTTTTTTCATAGCAAAATGGGGGGAAAAAGAAAGAAATGGGCAACTTTCATTTGCTCAAGGATGCAATTCACACACACACACACACTTAATGAATCCACGGACTCATTAAATCATTTGTTACACAGTGGCTGTCAGTGCAGGTTGAGTGCTTGTTGGGAAGGGGAGGTTCGGTACCGTAGTACACGTCAAGCCGCCATAGTGAAGCCTGTAGCCACACAAAACACCCTGACCCTGTGAAGGCCAACTCACACCACACCGTCAGACACTCGGTCGGGTAATGTCGGATCAGTGTTGGCGTCTGTCGGAGCCGATTGAACATGCTGAATTGGATTTCGAAGATCTGAGAAGTGATGTGCTTTAATCTGTCGGCGTCTGACGGTGCTGTGTGAGTCGGCCTTAAGACAACAGCATTTTTTCACCAGAATCTTCGGTTATTTCACAATAAAAATACTACACCGATATTTAATAATGCCTTATACGCTATTTACACTACTTGTAGTGGCTGAGTACTTTTTTTTCTTTCTCTGTCTTTTTTTTTTTTTTTTTTGCTCATTCTCTTGCTAATTACAGTGTCGGTTACACTGATAGACTCTTGCTCGCTGCTTTGCTGTCAAGCAGAGAGTCGCACACCCTGCCAGCCTGGTTTTTGGCACATATTGTGACTGTATTTGGCAGGGGAATAGCTAGGAACGACCGAAAACACGGAGGAGGTCGATGATACAAAACAAATACAGGTCTTTGTGCAGAGGAACCCGCTTAAAGTCAACGTGAAATGCCGTTCGCAAACCATTTCACTTCTGTAATACGACACACTTCCCAAGCGAACCTCCAGAAGATATCTAAAAAATGGGCGAGAGATTTGATCGAGGGTTGAAAAATAAGACGGATAGTTTGATTTCATGTTGACTTTAAACTTCACATTTCACAGTTCACATTAGTTTTTTTATTTTTTTTTATAAACTTATTATGAATCTTTTCACATTTAACGAAGCTGCAGACCAAAACGATCGAGTTCAAACCATGAAAATCCTTTCCCAAAGGTTATCAGGAGATCTTTCTTTACCAGAGCAGAAATATTTCACAGCATCTCTGGCGTAGTTCTGAACGTCGAATCCTTCTTCATTGACGTTGCATGTTCTATCCTGCATCCTCTTCTTTAAAACAAATAAATAAAAACAAAACAAGCCCAACCCACCCGCTGCTTCTGATTGGGTGAGAGCAGTGATTGACAGATGATGCAGGAAAGCTACAGCAGAGGGGGCATTGAACAAATACCCACTGACATCAACAGTGCACTTCATTGAACAGTGAAGTGTGAACGAGAGTAGCGCCAAGAGCGATGTTTGGCCAGTGAGAGCTTGGCAGACCAGTAGAACGAATGAAGCTGGTTGACTGAAGGGAATTCTGGGATATTGCTTGGGACACACTAGGGAAGGAGAGGGGGGGCAAATGGGGTCGGGTGACGTCGACATGTTTCTTAAGAGTAGATGGTGATGACCTCGCGACCTCCACCGCGCACAAGGAGGACCCGGTTGAGACCTTCGGTTAAAACCTCCATGAATTCCATGTCTGATTGATGGAGAGTCAAGGAAAGGAGCTGTAAAAGATACACACACTACTTTTGCAGTATGTAAATATGGTGCGCAGTATGCAAATGATATGTATTCCTGAAATACACTATTGTTCAAACGTTTGGTGGCGGAAAGACTTTTTAAGGCTTTGAAAGAAGTCTCTTCTGCTCAGTAAGGCTGCATTTATTTGATAAAAAATACAGTAATATTGTGAAATATTATTATGATTCAAAATAATTGTTTTCTATTTTAATATATTTTAAAATGTATTTTTTCCTGTGATCAAAGCTGAATTTTCAGCATCATTACTCCAGTCTTCAGTGTCACATGATCCTTCAGAAATCACTCTAATATGATGATCTGCTGCTCAAGAAACATTTATGAGTATTAACAATGTTGAATAAAATTGAGCTGTTTAATATTTCTGAGAAAATTCATCTTTAGGATTATTTGATGGATAGAAAGTTCAAAAGAACAGCATTTATTTGAAATGGAAATTGTAATATTACAAATGTCTTTACTGTCACTTTTTATCAATTACATTTTTTTAATAATAATAATAATTTAAAAAAAAAACCTGACCCCAAACTTTTGAAAGGAAGTGTATCTGCATTGTATCCAATGAATAATGCATATGCGCTCAATGAGACCTTTTAAAAACAAAAGCTCCTTTTTGACTTTAGAATTGTTCTTACACCAAAATGGAATAGAAATGAATAAAAATGATCATAGCATTTATCAAGATACAGTTCTCGTCGCCGCTTCTGTTTTTTGGTGGTCCGGGCATGTTGAGCAGGACGAGCTTGGCCTCCTGGGATTTCTTCATGATGACTTCATTGAGTCTGAGAGCAGTGTGCATGCGCCTCACGTTGGACTGGTTTCTGAAAGCAAAAGCATTGATGATAAGCTCACACTCACATTCATCCACATCAGTGAGTGTTAACATGTGTATCGCAGTCAGAGCTGCAACTATACTCACAGATTTTCCCACTCTCTGTGGCATGACAAAGAAAGACAGAAAGACGAGTGTAAAAGTGTGCAATGCAAAACTGAGTCGAGGTTTAAGCCTTGCGGGACTCACGGTTTCATGTTGAAGAGGTCTTTGATGGCCTCTGGTGTGGTGGCTCCTACAGGTTTGGCCTTCTCTCCATCACACTTGGCTTCAGTCCACGTCATCTGAACGGTCGTGCCGGGGGTCTCGGCGTCTGCGCTGGGGGACTGAGGAGTGGCCGGGGTGGGCGGGTTGGTGCTCTTGTCATGAATGAGCTGTTCCTGTTGGGACGGGGACACAGGGACAGACTGAGAGGGCAGGACCGGCACATACGCACATATGGAGAATGTCAGGGCAAAAGAGAAGGAAAACATACAACTGTTAATGCTCAGAGATGAAAAGATTTTAAATAAATCAAAACATATTCAATCGAAAATAAAACAATCAAATAATTAAAATAAGTATTACAATACAATGACAATGAAAATGACTTTGCTTTATAATTAATGATAATAATAAATAATTATTAAATAAAGTAAAATAATAAATAGCACAAAAATTAAATTAAATAAGTACAATAAAAATGAAATTATTATGATAACAATGAAAATGACTATGATTTATAACTAATGATAATAATAAATAATAAATAATAATTAAATTAAATAATCAGATAATTTAAAAAAAGTTATTTATTTACTGATTACTTCCATTTTAATTATACTTAATTGTTTTGGTTTGGTTTCTAGAATGAAATTAAAATACAAGTTAAAAATAAAATTCCGATAATTAATTTATTACGGTTGCTAATTGTTTTAATTATAATTATAATAATGATTTAATTTTCTTAAAAAAAAGAAAAGAATAATAATTAAAAACAATGAATTACGCCATATTAAATAATTAATATGGCTTTTCTAATAAATAAAACATTTACAATAAAATAACTTTAGAGAGAGAGAGAGAGAGATGGATTCTGCCGTGTCCATTACTCTGAACTGCAGAGATATCAGACAAATCAGTCAAGTTCAGATCACAACTGTTCAACACAAGAGATGTGTCTGCTATTGCCATGTAAGATGAAACCTGTAAAGTCCCTCATTAACTCAGATGTCTGCTGATTACAAGCACAGAATGAGATGAGCATTGACTCCTCATGCTGTACCTCCTCCTCTGGTTTCTCCTCTTTGCTGCTGGCCGCCGGTTCCTCAGTCACACTGAGCTGGGTCGTGACCGCGGCCGGGTTCTTACGGCGGATCGACCCACGAGAGCTGTCAGTGATGCTCTGGATCTGAAAGACCAGCAGTGATGTCACGGGTTCAACGTGCAGCCTTCATTAAACATATCAACAACTGCATTCCTATACTGCAAAGTAATATTATTATGTAAATGAGATGTTCCCCTCATCTGCATAAAGTACAGAGAAATACTTAAGTTAAAGTATTTTTACTGTTTAAAATTAAAAGCATCCAGCAAAAAATAAAAATAAAAAAAAATACTCAAAACATTTCCATATTGAAAAGTAATTTTCTTAACTTCTGAAATTAACAGATGACATTAAAAAACTTTTGTCATTAAATTAACTTTGATGCACAAACTTTGCAAAGCAACATGTTTAATCATAATGTCCTCATTGTTCTGACTATAAAGGCTTTATAAATCCATTGGCAGCAGCTCAAACTGTACAGCATTGCAATTCATTATAAATAATAAGAATTAATAACATAATTAATAAAAAATACAAATATAAGTTAATTAAAAATAAAAACAATCAAAAAAATAAAACAAATCAAATATGTTGTGTACCTGTATGTCATGTGACCATTAACCGTCATCATAAAACCGTAAACATGAGAATGTGTTGTTAAACTATTAAAATATTAGCTTAAAAATACTTCAAGTAAATAATTTAGGTCAAAAATTGACAAGAAAATGTTTAGGAATCCTTGGTCTAAATGAAATTGTACATATAATAAAGTATGGTTTGCTGTTAGAAGTGATCCCGAGTGAAAGTGTTGAGGCCGGACGTCTACCTCCCGCTCCCGCTCAGTCTTGGTGAGGTTGATCTGCTTCAGGATCTGAGATCGCTGCTCCATCACCAGGGTTTTCTCATACGTGTACGCTGAGATATCACTGTCATGCTGAGGAGAGAGATGCAATAATAGAGTTACTCATAAAACTGTGCAGAAGGAAAACATATCTACAGTTCATAAAGGAATAGCTGACCTGAATATAAGCACTTTTTCATCTTCTGCCAACTACTCCAAAACAATGTCAAAGAAAATTGCGACTTTTTATCTCGCAATTCTGACTTTTTTCTCGCAATTGTGAGTTTATATCTCGCAATTCTGACTTTTTTCTTGCAATTGTGAGTTTATATCTCGCAATTCATACTTTTTTCTCACAATTGAGTTTATATCTCGCAATTCTGACTTTTTTCTCGCAATTGCAAGTTTATATCTCGCAATTCCTACTTTTTTCTCGCAATTGTGAGTTAATATCTCGCAATTCTGACTTTTTTCTCACAATTGAGTTTATATCTCGCAATTCTGACTTTTTTCTCGCAATTGCAAGTTTATATCTCGCAATTCGTACTTTTTTCTCGCAATTGTGACTTAATATCTCGCAATTCTGACTTTTTTCTTGCAATTGTGAGTTTATATCTCGCAATTCTGACTTTTTTCTCACAATTGAGTTTATATCTCGCAATTCCGACTTTTTTCTAGCAATTGTGAGTTTATCTCTCACAATTCATACTTTTTTCTCATAATTGAGTTTATATCTCGCAATTCTGACTTTTTTCGCGCAATTGCGAGTTTATATCTCGCAATTGCGAGTTTATATCACGCAATTCTGACATTTTTCTTGCAATTGTAAGTTTATATCTCGCAATTCTGACTTTTTTCGCGCAATTGCGAGTTTATATCTCGCAATTCTGACTTTTTTCTCACAATTGCAAGTTTATATCTCGCAATTCGTACTTTTTTCTCGCAATTGTGACTTAATATCTCGCAATTCTGACATTTTTCTTGCAATTGTGACTTAATATCTCGGAATTCTGACTTTTTTCTCACAATTGAGTTTATATCTCGCAATTCATACTTTTTTCTCACAATTGCAAGTTTATATCTCGCAATTCTGACTTTATACCAAGCAATTTTGAGAAAGAGTCAGAACTGTGAGATAAAAGTTGTAATTACCTTTATTCATTTTTATTTAGTGGCGGAAACATGCTTCCATACACGTCTTCTTACCGAATAAAAAAGTAATTCGCCACATTTTTTATGCTCATTTTAAGAATTTAAGCACATCTTGGTCTCTATCTAGTGATTTTTATGCGATATCGCAGAATGCTATTGATTACCATCTCCACCACTTCCACCGCGGCGTCGATGCGCAGGTGATACAGGAAGGTTGTCAGATCTTTCTTCATCTGGATGCTGTTGTCGTCCATCTGGGCTACAGTGAAGATGCGCATCTTGCACTTCCTCCAAACCTACAGAACATCATCCACAGATGTCAACAACGGTCACCATGTGAGCTGCAAACAACCGCTGTATGATATATGATCATCCAAGGCTGTACCTTGTGCTGGCGGAGGAGGAAGGGTAGCAGCATTAGCATGCCTCCATCATGAACGATCCACCACACGTCGATGTGACCCTCAGTGAAGCGCTCTCCGTTCGATGGGAAGGCCGAGATGTTCTTGGGCACCAGCAGGGCTTTACTGGCAGCGGTGGTTTCTCTTACCAGCTCTGTAATGAAGACACTTTTATATTTATTATTGACACTTGGGCATATATTGTTTTTTTAATGATTTGAGTCTTTTGTTTTTAGGTGTTTCAGTCATTTGAAGCTGTTTTTGCTCCGATGTCAGACTTCTTCATTTGTTATGCATAATCTGAGCGTTCGTTTTTATGTCTGGGAAGTTCCAAATACAAACAGAAAATTAAGCACTTATTATTAAAAAAATATTGAATATTATGTAGTACAATATATTTAATGAAATGTATGAAATTGTATTTAATTCAAATGGATATGCAGACTAATTTTATAATAATAAATAAATGAATAACAATTAAAATAATAAATGTTCTTAAAAATAAAATATAGCATATGTAAATATAATACAATGTAAATAAATATGATACAATAAATATATATATATTTTATTTATATTTAATTTTCTGGCTGAATCTTTAGTAAAATTGTCAACACCTGAAATAAATCAGCTGATAATGAACCAGTTCTTCTAACACTTGTATTCAGCAGCACACTATTCCTGTAACTATTTTAGGATCTTTTCCAAATGAAAGCGTCACTCGTCTGTGGTGTCAGACGTGAAGCTGCACCTGCTCTGTCTGCTCTCTCAGTTCAGTTGCAATAACACTGAACAGACTCGCACTTACACATATGATGTAATGAGTTTACCACAGCTGCCACAGCGCAAACCAGTGAGCTAAAGCCTTATACACTGATTCAAGATGAGTACATTCAATCTCACAAAGCCAGAAAAATGTATGATTTATCTGTCAACTTTGTCTCAGATGTGTTTCCTTAAATAGTTTAGGATGAATACAAATAGACACAAATGAGTCAATAGCTGTCATACAGTAACATGATTTGATGATACATTTTTGAGTTCATATTCAGATCTCTGACTTTTGATTCCAGACTTTGTTATCTTGGCAAATCTGAGCACAGATTGAGAAGAACTCCAGTCTTTACTGATTACTGGACTCTTTTTATAAGGAGAAACATCTCTGTTTCCAAAGTCGCCATTTACTATCCTTTTAATTGTATTGATGTTTTAGGGTGTGTTCACACTTGTAGTTCCGGTTCGCTTTAATAGTTCCAAAAAAACAAACAACAAAAAAACATTTAATTCTGTTCTGCTTAGCGTTCACATGGGCATTTAACACCGAACCTAAAGGCATAGGGATACGTTCACAACCTGATTGGTCGGCTTTTATGACGTATATTTCGAACTGAACATCTAAAACAATGCTGTGTTCTGGGCTAAATGCGCTCGCTGTATGTGCGTAGATACATATGATGGTATTCTGACCAGCTGAGAACTCGTGAAGAGCTTATAAATGTGTAAAGGAGTCAAAACAGCGTCAGGAATCCTCCGTCACACACACACACACACACACACACACAGATCTGCAGTGAGGAGACGCGGTTCTGATGCTTTTACTGAACTGTGATGGGAAACATCGCCACTATGATGAGAAAAAACAGCTATATTTCAGCATTCTGTCCTTTATAGGGTCGCATCTAGTGACATCATGTCCTGTTTTTGGTTCGTTTACATGTCTTTGGTCCGTGTTGTGATCATATATCATTTGAACCGCACCAGAGTGTTTGGAAGCGGAGCGAGACTCATCTTTTTACAGGGTTCCTACAGGTTTCTTAAATTCAAGTCTTTTTAAGACCATTTATATAAAAAAATTAATACCTATTTCACGTCCCTACCAGCTAAGAAAAACAAAATCCTTGAACTTGTGTTCATTTATTTTTCAAATGTGGAATGGGTAAAAGATGATAAGCCAAGCAGGTGTGAAAAATAAAAACATTTCAGTAGGCCACAAGAAAGTTTGCCGAAGAATGTTAAGTTTTTTTTTTTTAACATTAGCTAGCTACTTATTCCATGCTGGGAATATGGGGAGCTGAGAGACCCCTGAACAATAAACATCGAAAATCATAATAATCGTGGTTGACAAATGAAACTTTTGAGGAGAAATACAATACAGAGAAGTTACATACAGCACAATTTTTAAGACCCAGACATCAAAATTCAAGACTTTTTAAAGTATTTTTAAGGTATTATTTCCAAATTAATTAATTCAATGATTTTAAGGCTTTTTAAGACCCCGCGGGAACCCTGTTTTCAGCTTGTTTAGTGCACACCAGGGTTCAGATGGCAGCGTTCACACTTTATTCAACTGAACCGCACTAACAGAGGGTTTGTTTTAATCCAACCAAACATGCCGAGTGTGAACACACCCTAAGATAACGATTGAGCAATCAAAGAGATGTCATTTGTGATTCTTCCTTGTAATAGGAAGAAACGGTGCTTAATTGTATTGTATAAACATATCATATTTAATTTAAGTAACTATAATTAATTTTATTGTGCGAGCCAGCCTCGGATAAGCGGAAGAAGTAGATGATGATGATGATGATGATAATTGTATTGCATTTAAATGTTTTTAGATTTAATTCACAGGAAATGCTGCTTCTGCCCCTCACCAATGAAGTTCCTCCAGCTCTGGTGATCCTCGGCCTGTTTCCAGTTGCGTGGCCAGCTGGCCAGAACAGTGTTGTGTTGAAGACCACCCAACCCTCCGGCCTGGACCAAGTGTGATGTGGCGTCCCTCTTGTTGGAGGAGATAACAACCTGACAGAAACCCTTCACCTTCTCCGTCTCCATCAGCTTCCTCAGAGACTGTGAGATGACAAAAAGAACATTAACCCTGATTCTAACATGCCTATGGTGTCCAAACATGCCGTCCGGGTTGGTGCCCGAGTAAAGGTGTGTGTGTGCTTGTCTGTCGGTCACCTGTTCGACCTGCTGGCCCTGAGGAAGGTTGTCCAGGTATGTTCCCTCCAGCGCTGCGCCCACGATGGTCAGACCCTTCCCAGCCTTCAGCTGACTGGTCAGAGACAGCAGACGAGGCTGATCCACATGCAGCTCAGAGTCCATGCTGACCAGGACTAATATCTGAGGTCTGTGGAGATCGAGACAGAGTTTACTCAGACGCCATCACTGATCAACAATAACTAGAACAGTTATTGAATGATGGTCAAAACTTAAAAAAAGATCAATTGTGTGCAATAACTCCAAAAAAAATTGATAAAATAATAACTGTACTTAAAATTTAGCATATATAATGTGTGTATATATACACTACCGTTCAAAAGTTTGGGGTCAGTGAGAATTTTATTTTTATTTTTTGGAGGAAAGAAAACAATACTTTTATTTATCAAGGACAGTAAAGACATTTATAATGTTACAAAAGATTCTATTTCAAACAAATGCTGTTCTTTTGAACTTCCTATTCATCAAAGAATCCTAAAAAACAAACAAAAAAACTGTACAACTGACAGACCAACAACTGTTTCAACATTGATAATAATAATAAATGTTTCTTGAGCATCAAATCCTCATATTATACTGATTTGTGAAGGATCATTTGACACTGAAGACACTGACACTGGTGATGCTGAAAATTCAGCTTTGATCACAGGAATAAATTACACTTTACTATATATTCACACAGAAAACAGCTGATTTACACTGGAATAATATTTAATACTATAACTGATTTTTGTTGTATTTTTAATCAAATAAGCGCAGCCATGGTTAGCAGAAGAGAATTCTTTTAAAAGTATTTAAAATCGTACCGACCCCAAACTTTTGAACGGTAGCGTATATTTAACTATTTAAATTCAATTATTTAACTATTTATATTTATAAATATATGTATACGGACATATAAAGAATAATATCATTAAAATAATAACTGTACATAAAGATAGAATGCAACATGTAAATTATAATAATGTATTTAAATATGTTTAAATATACTTATTTTAATATAGAAAAATATAATACAATTTATATTTATAAATATATGTTTATTGTTAGAATAACTGAATAACATAATTATATAACTATAAATCTATCAATCTAAATATATAATTATATTACTTATAATGTAATAGATATATTAGTTATAAATTAAAATATAATTTAAAATAAAATTATCTATATATAATCAAAAATACAGAAAAAACTGTAATATTGTGAAATATTATAACAATTTAAAATAATGGTTTGCTATTTGAACATACTTTAAAATATAATTTATTCCTGTCACACACACACACACTTAAAATAAAGTAATATATGAATCTAAATATGAATAAATATACACATAATATATAAATGAAAAATATATGCCTAAATATATAAATAGGAATAAATATATGTAAATATAAATCTATTAATACAAATATAAAAATATTTATGCACCCACCTCCAGTTCTTGGTGTGTGGCGGTCCCTCTTCCAACCTCATGAGGGCGAAGCGAGCCGCACTGAGAGACAGACCTCTGATTCCATCACCCCATTCCTTTTCCGCCCTGTAAACACACACACATACACACACACACACAAATCTTACAGTATATTGTACATATTTACACTGTGTGTAGCATACTTGTTTTTGACCTCGTACATTTGGCAACATGTGCATTGTACAACAGAGCACCCTGCAATTGGGTACTGTATCCCACAATGCAATCCACTCAATGTAACCTTGCATTTTTATTAACTTTTTGACTGCAAAAATGTCAAATTTCTATAAATGTCACTACGACATATGCATACTACTATTTAAAATGTGCATTGTTCTGTTTTTAAGTGTACAGTGCAGTGTGCAGTAAGTCTTCCATTGCGAGGAATAGCCTCAGACTCCATAATCCTGACGCCAATTTGCCCCTCCTCTTTAATTTCCGGCGACAGACTCGGGTCACTGTTCGGCTTGACTCTAGAAGTGTTTCCAAAGGAAAGGCACCAAACTAATCGAATCCCGGAGCAGATTTCAGCTGTTCTCGGCCCGGGGCGGATTATGAGGGATCTAAAAATCCTGACAGGTCAAACCCCTAAACCTCAATTCTAATCCGGGTCACGATCCACTTACCCTCGGAACTCGATATACTTGTAGATACAGCTGGCGATCACCATGGCAACGATGGCGTAGTACCAAGAACAGATGAACATGAGCGAGAGACAAAGACTCATGCCGAGGAAGGAAAGAGTCCTGTCGGAGAACAGGAAGGCAAATGTTAGTGCACAAACACAAGTAAAGCCACAGTAAACGGAAAGACGTGGCGGTCTGGAGCTCACCAGTGGTAGAACTTGAATCGTGGTCTCCAGTTGGGCGTTCTGAGGAGAGTTTGAACAGCGCAGGCCAGATTCACAAACATGTAGCACATGAGGAAGAACCTGCAGAAACAGCACGAGGAAAACCACCATGATCATGTCAGAAAACACAAACCGATCAAGTACAGTGGTGTCAAAAAGTGTTCAAATGTCTGAACGTGATTGTTTTAGACATGAGAATATTGAACTAAATATCATTTATTAAAAAAAAAGTCCAGACTTTTCAAGCAAAAAACTAAAAAGGGACAAAAATAAGTTTAAAATAGTTGAAACAAAGACAGTCAGCATTGTTTGTTTGTGTTTAGTGGATCATATTGATATTTATTTTTCACAATAACTAAACCCTAAACTATTCAAATAAGTTTTTGTTAACGTTATATGAAATAAAAGCTGAAATATTGTTATTTTCGTATTATTTTTATACTACTATTATAGTATTTATTAACATTTTCAATTAACTTTTATATTTTTCATTTTAATTTTAGTTTGTTTCAGTAATTTTGTTAAGCGCCTCGGTCACTTTTTATTATTATTATTACTATTTATGCTATTTAGCTTTAATTAGTTGTTATTCCAGTTTTAGTCATTTTAGTTATTTATTAACTTATTAGTTATTTCAGTTGATAAAAACGAATTTTGGTTACACTAAATTTTAATGTGTCATTTGTTTTTACATTTTAATATTTAATGATAATATTTGAAATATTTAAAATATGAAATATTTAATTTGATATTCAGAAATGTTAAATATGACTCAAGTGTGCAAACAGTTCCTGGTTCGGCTGTATATTTCAGTGCATGTTTGTTCGTGAGCGTGACGAGCCTCTTACATGGAGAGGATCGGAGCGACGTTATCCAGGGAAGCGATGAGAATCCCACTCTCACAGATACACGCGGTCAGGAGCAGTGCCCAGGTGGGCTCCCCGTTTGCTTTTCCGTGGCCGAACACCTGCAACACACACGCATGCACATGAGCAGATAAACACAAGGCTCTCAATGTGACTCTCAGTGTGTCTCCTCACCCTGAGGAACGGCACGATGCCGTCCCGTGCGATGGCCTGTAGGAGACGAGGAGCGCCCGTCAGGCTCTGGAGACCCGCACCACAGGTGGAGAAGAAGGAGCCGATGACGATGACCCAGGGCGAAGGCCACGCCAGTGTCCCGATCACCAGATTACCCCTGACGGCCTCACCAAACCTGAGATACATCAACAGTTGACATGTTACAAAAGATTGTATTTCAAATAAATGCTGCTCATTTGAACATTCTGTTCATCAAAGAATCCATAAAAAAATGGATCAGCGTTTCCACGACAATCATAAATGTTTCTTGAGCAGCAAATCATCATATTAGCACGATTTCTGAAGGATCATGTGACACTGAAGACTGATGGTGAAAATTCAGCTTTGATCACAGAAATAAGCTGGTCACCGTGATTTTGCCAAGTAAGACATGTTCCTGGATCAACATTCCTGTCCCAAAATGTAGTCCTAACCCAATCCCTACCCCTAAACCTAACCCTACCCATAACTTTTCCCTAAAATCAGAGGGTAATGAAAGGTGAATAGCACTGATGTGTAAGTACTTCACCCTGGTTCTAAGCCTAAACTTGACATACACTGTAAACTTGTCCCTCAAATCTGATTGGTTGATTGGAAAGTTGATCCAGGAACATGTGGTACTTGGTGAAATCACGTTCACCATAATAACATAGAAAGCATTTTAAATCAAAATAATATTTCACAATATTACAGATTTTCCTGTATTTTTTATCAAATAAATGCAGCCGCCTTTTAAGAGCATTACAAAACCCTGTATCTTCTCATGCACTAAATCACATGACATATTTATAAGTTAAGCAGAGTGTGAATAACATACTTATCCCTCAGCACCGATCCCTCGATGCAGGCGCCGAACAGCACCACGCTGGACATGTCTGTGTACTGCGGTTAAAGAACATCAGCTGAAGATTTGTTTTTTTGGAAAAATATGAACTCTTATCAGCTTGTTTTGTGTGTTTATAAACACATCATGGCCATATTCCAGGAGGACAATACCAAGATGCATCAGGCTCAGATTGTGAAAGAATGGTTGGGAGGAGCATGAAGAATCATTTTTACACATGAATTGGGACGGACTTTAAATTCAATGAAAGTCTTTGGGATGTGCTGGAGGAGACTTTAGAGTGCTGGACTCTTGCATTCTCAATACAAGACCTTGACCAAAAACTGATGCACCTCTTGATGGAAATAACATCAAAACATTTATTTCCATCAAGAGGTGCATAAATATTTGATGAACTTTGACATTGTCATCCTGGAATATGGCCATGATGTGTCTTCCTACATGGTTGTTTAAGAAATGAAAAGCTACACACTCCATCAATTATGGTTAGAAGAACCGTTGCCAATCATATAACATGCTAGAAACATAATAATCCCTGCAATAATGATCCAATCATAGACTCTTAAAGTCCCTCTGTGGTGAAAATCAAGCTTTTAATGTTGTTTATATGTCTATGTGGTGTTTTAAATATTTTTTAAGACAAATCATGTGTAAAGTCGACAGCATTGCTGAGTATTTTCTCCTTAAAACTGCAGTGAATCAAAGACAGTCTCAAAAACACAGTTTGAAATCGCTGGTTTTTCCAACGTCACAAACTATCTTGTAACCAATCAGATCAACGATGTGTGTGATCGTCAACCAGTGGATCTCTGAGCTGAGCGAGTGAGTGGAGGCGGGGCTCATTTGCATATTCATAGAACCGCGTATACTAAATGAAGCAAGGGTGTAGAGTTACAGTTAAAGCTATTTTAAGGCATGAAGACATTTTTTTCGAGGAAAAAACTTTTAAATATGTAATTTTGGTGATAAAAGATGAGTTTTAAGGGATGAGCACTTTAAAGCATTTGCCTATTTAAATCCAAACAGCGACTTTTTTTGGGGCCGGACAGTGTATCATAAACGGTTCTGCAGGAAGATGTGATATCAGATTGTGTCCACCAGGTGGAGCGCTGTATATGTGTGTGTGTTCATGTATGAGAAGATACAGATGATGGAGGTGGTGGTGATGGCCAGGATGGTGCCGATGGGAATGGACTTCTGGGCATCCTGCAAATCACCAGATCGGTTTGATCCAGCCATGATACCTGTTCAAAACAAGGCAGATCATACAGTGCAATGTTCTGATTACTATATACAGTAATTCCCCATACTTCCATTTTTTGTTATTTTGATGATTTGACTTGTATTATAAAATGTAGCAAATACAAACTTTGACTTTTCGTATTACAGTAACACTTTACAATAAGGCACAATTATTAGTTAACATTAGTTTATGCGTTAAGAAACAATGAGCAACACATTTGTTACAGTATTTATTAATCTTTGTTAATGTTAGTTAAAGGGTTAGTTCACCCAAAAATGAAAATTATGTCATTAATGACTCTCCCTCATGTCGTTCCAAGCCCGTAAGACCTCCGTTCATCTTCGGAACACAGTTTAAGATATTTTAGATTTAGTCCGAGAGCTTTCTGTCCCTCCATTGTAAATGTATGTACGGTATACTGTCCTTGTCCAGAAAGGAAATAAAGACATCATCAAAGTAGTCCATGTGACATCAGTGGGTTAGTTAGAATGTTTTGAAGCATCGAAAATACATTTTGGTCCAAAAATAACAAAAACTACGGCTTTATTCAGCATTGTATTGTCTTCCGGTTCTGTTGTGGATCCGCGTTCAGTGCCGCTGCTGACGTGTGTCTGGTGTGTGTGTGTGTGTGTGTGTGTGTGTGTGTGTGTGTGTGTGTATTCCGGTTCTGTTGTGGATCCGCGTTCAGTGCCGCTGCTGACGTAAGACGCTGCTGACGTGTGTCTGGTGTGTGTGTGTGTGTGTGTGTGTGTGTGTATTCCGGTTCTGTTGTGGATCCGCGTTCAGTGCCGCTGCTGACGTAAGACGCTGCTGACGTGTGTCTGGTGTGTGTGTGTGTTTGTGTGTGTGTGTGTTCCGGTTCTGTTGTGGATCCGCGTTCAGTGCGGCTGCTGACGTGTGTCTGGTGTGTGTGTGTGTGTGTGTGTGTGTGTGTGTGTGTGTGTGTGTGTGTGTGTGTGTCTGGTGCGCCCGAGCTTCGTTTACAGTCTGAGGGAGACGCACGCTGGAAACAAAACAATCTTCGCAAACATGTCTAAGGATTTCCACACAGAGGAAGACTTGCATTTTTTTGCCCAGACATATTTATTTGAACCCGAATACACGGACGCACCAGACACACGTCAGCAGCGTCTTACGTCAGCGGCGGCACTGAACGCGGATCCACAACAGAACCAGAACACACACACACACACACACACACACACCAGACACACGTCAGCAGCGTCTTACGTCAGCAGCGGCACTGAACGCGGATCCACAACAGAACCAGAATACACACACACACACACACACACCAGACACACGTCAGCGGCGGCACTGAACGCGGATCCACAACAGAACCAGAACACACACACACACACACACACACACCAGACACACGTCAGCAGCGTCTTACGTCAGCGGCGGCACTGAACGCGGATCCACAACAGAACCAGAACACACACACACACACACACACCAGACACACGTCAGCAGCGTCTTACGTCAGCAGCGGCACTGAACGCGGATCCACAACAGAACCAGAACACACACACACACACACACACACACACACCAGACACACGTCAGCAGCGTCTTACGTCAGCGGCGGCACTGAACGCGGATCCACAACAGAACCGGAATACACACACACACACACACACACACACACACACACACACACACACACACACACACACACACACACACCAGACACACGTCAGCAGCGTCTTACGTCAGCGGCGGCACTGAACGCGGATCCACAACAGAACCAGAATACACACACACACACACACACACACGTCAGCGGCGGCACTGAACGCGGATCCACAACAGAACCAGAACACACACACACACACACACACACACACACACACACCAGACACACGTCAGCAGCGGCACTGAACGCGGATCCACAACAGAACCGGAATACACACACACACACACACACACACACACACACACACACACACCAGACACACGTCAGCAGCGTCTTACGTCAGCGGCGGCACTGAACGCGGATCCACAACAGAACCAGAATACACACACACACACACACACACACACACACACACACACACACACCAGACACACGTCAGCAGCGTCTTACGTCAGCGGCGGCACTGAACGCGGATCCACAACAGAACCGGAAGACAATACAATGCTGAATAAAGTCGTAGTTTTTGTTATTTTTGGACCAAAATGTATTTTCGATGCTTCAAAACACTCTAACTAACCCACTGATGTCACATGGACTACTTTGATGATGTCTTTATTTCCTTTCTGGACAAGGACAGTATACCGTACATACATTTACAATGGAGGGACAGAAAGCTCTCGGACTAAATCTAAAATATCTTAAACTGTGTTCCGAAGATGAACGGAGGTCTTACGGGCTTGGAACGACATGAGGGAGAGTCATTAATGACATAATTTCCATTTTTGGGTGAACTAACCCTTTAATAAAAATACGACTGTTCATTGTCAAGTTAGCACAGGTCCATTAAATAATATTAACAGATACAACTTTAGATTTTAATAATGTATTAGTAAATGTTGAAATTAATATAAATTAAGATTAATAAATGCTTCAGAAGTGTCTTTCGTTCATGTTACCTCATGCAGTTAACTAATGTTAACCATGTGAACCTTATTGGAAAGTTTGCCGGACATTCTTGTAAATTCTGATCTTCAAGGTTAATTTTCATAATCATAACTGACGGATGAGATCAGGCTGTGGAGAGAAGACTAACCTGTCACGGAGGGGAAGTAGATGCCCACCAGCATGGTGAAGAAGGAGGTGACGTCGGCAAGCACGTAGCGGTTAGTGTTGGTCGGGATGGAGTCGGGTTCCACCGCAGCCGTTATTCCCACCTTCTCAATGAACTGAGCCTTTTCCATATAATTCCCAAAGAGGTTATCTGGAGGACAAAAAGGAGAAAGCAAAACAAAGAGAGAGAATATGAGATATGTTTTTTTCATCATTAGTATTAGGGGCTTGTTCAAATCACTAACCCTGAATATGATGGTTAGCATACACACAGTTAATTAAGTTTGTAGTTAAAAAATAAAGACATTTGATTTTAATATCCTTCACTTTCTCCAGACTCCAGGACAAAAGCTCATAGATAAAAGTAACTATCTTCTGTAGGAACACTAGCGTTCAAAAGCTTGTGGACGGTAAGAGATTTGAATGTTTTTGAAAGAAGTCTCTTCTGCTCACCAAGGCTGCATTTTTTTGATCAAAAATACAGTAAAGAATATGTAAAATATTATTACAATTTAAAATAACTGTTTTCTATGTGAATATATTTGAAATGTAATTTATTCCTGTGATCAACGCTCAATCAGCATCATTACTCCAGTCTTCAGTGTCACATGATCCTTCAGAAATCACTCTAATTTGATGATTTGCTGCTCAAGAAACATCTATGATTATTATCAATGTTGAAAACTGTTGAGCTGTCATGTTTTTGTGGAAACTGTGATTCATGTTGTTTCAGAATTCTTTGATGTATAGAAAGTAAAAAAAAAAAAATATATATATATATATATAAATAAATATAATGTATTATATATAAGTTGATTCTGTGCTAATTTGATCTAATATTTGATGTTTTTTAAAATGTTGTAGATTGCAAATGAGAATTGCTAAAATTATGAAGTATATTTTGAGACAAAGGTCTTCTTAATGATTTTCAGTTTTGTTCAAGGTAAATAAAGAAACAGTTTTTCAATAACAGAAGAATATATACAAGTATGGTATTTGGGGTAAAATATGGTATTAATCGTATATAATAAAATATAATTTATGGTCACTACTGTAAATCTATATCAAATTATTATGGAATCTCCTTCAATGCTTTCAGAATCTTTACTTTTTAAAATATATTTTTATATAAACATATTTTAATGACAGTATATTGAACTAAATTCATTATTTTATTTATCAGAATAAACAGAAAGAAGTACAAACTTTGCTAAAGTGATTGTTTTGAACAAGTGTTAACTTAGACATTCTTAAAAACCTTTTTTTTAGCTAAAGTATGTGTATCAATACTGTGTGCCTTTCTTTGTGCACGGTTATGATGATATGAGTGTGTTGTGATGATGTCATTTTGTGTCTGTATTTACCGCGTAGGGTGCCACTCATAACTCCTGGGATGCCCTGTATTTCCGTGATGTTGTTCCCGCTGAAATAGCTGTCGCATGTTGCGTTCAAGAACTCGGAGTCGCAGAAGAGCCGCCAGAGTTGGGTGGTGACCGTGACGTTTTCTCTCTCGATGACCTTCGCACACACATCGAAACCTTTCCAAACCAGAGTCCGGTTCCCCAGCACACACACTCTGTGGAAATCAATTACATATTCCAATCTTAAAAAAAAAAAAAAAAAACTTTTCACACAGAAATTGCTTGTAAATTTAACTTAAAATTTAAAAGAAAGGCACGTCACACATCGAGGTAAACGTGAAATTCTGAAGTAGAAATACTGAAATAGCATATTTTTGTAAAACTTACTCCAATAATTTATAAGTTTGAATTTTTTTTTCAGTGCACCAGGGTTATTATTGTTAACTAAAACTATTAAAAACATTTCTTTTAAAAAACTAAAATATAAATATTAGTTGAAAAACTTAAACTAAAAATTAATTTTTTTTGCCTGGGCAATAAACTAACAGTTGAAACACTAAAATTCTTAACTGAAAATTAATAAAAACTAAAACTAAATGAGACCTAAATATTCATTTTTTTTAAACTGATCAAATGACAGTCACATTTAATAAAGATTAATCTGAAATTAACATGAAAACTAAAAACGCTAATTCCAAATATGAATAAAACTATAATACAACTAAAATAACACTGCTGTTTCTGGCATAAGTTTGGCCCTGATATGATTGTAATATTCATGAGGCACATACGGGAAGATGGGTGGCTCGAAGGCGGTCTTGATCACTCCAGCGTAGACGGCGAGGATGGAACAGATGACACAGGCGAGGAAGACGAGCGCCAGCTTGTTCACGTACTTCACTCCTACAAACACCACGAGGGCCATGAAGCTCAGCACGAGTGTGCCGTAAACACGCATGTTGTTCAGCATGGCGGCCTCGGCCTCGGCTCCCTCCAGACCCTCCATCTTAAAAATGGCCCCTTGTGGAACAATGTACACCTGAGATAGGAGGTGCAAAGAGAAATGCATAAATGCTAATCAAAAAGAAGAAGATACTTGGGACTGCCAGTCAATGTTTCCTCACTTTATGGACTTAATCTTACATTTTCTTAATCTTACGTTTATGGATGACCTGCTGTCCTCATTATTTCATTAAACTGCCTCTCTCAGAATAAATTACCCCAAGAAAAGGGTCTTTCTTCATCATTTTCTAAGTGATAAACAGGTGTTTTACTAGGGACTTTAGCCTAAAGCACCAAAAAATGAAATGTCATGTATTTTTCAGCTAATAACTGAGCATTGTTCATGGTCAGAAACAATGCTCAGGTAGGCCGTGTCATTTAAACGATGCCCAATTGGCACTAAGGGGACTAAAGTGTGCCAAGAAAACATCCCCCACACCATTACACCACCACCACCAGCCTGCACAGTGGTAACAAGGCATGATGGATCCATGTTCTCATTCTGTTTACGCCAAATTCTGCCTCTACCAAATGAATGTCTCAACAGAAATCGAGACTCATCAGACCAGGCAACATTTTTCCAGTCTTCAACTGTCCAATTTTGGTGAGCTCTTGCAAATTGTAGCCTCTTTTTCCTATTTGTAGTGGAGATGAGTGGTACCCGGTGGGGTCTTCTGCTGTTGTAGCCCATCCGCCTCAAGGTTGTGCGTGTTGTGGCTTCACAAATGCTTTGCTGCATACCTCGGTTGTAACGAGTGGTTATTTCAGTCAAAGTTGCTCTTCTATCAGCTTGAATCAGTCGGCCCATTCTCCTCTGACCTCTAGCATCAACAAGGCATTTTCGCCCAAAGGGATGCCGCATACTGGATGTTTTTCCCTTTTCACACCATTCTTTGTAAACACCATTCTTGACTGCCAGTCAATGTTTCCTCACTTTATGGACTTAATCTTACATTTTCTTAATCTTACGTTTATGGATGACCTGCTGTCCTCATCATTTCATTAAACTGCCTCTCTCAGAATAAATTACCCCCAAAAAAGGGTCTTTCTTCATCATTTTCTAAGTGATAAACGGGTGTTTTACAAGGGACTTTAGCCTAAAGCACCAAAAAATGAAATGTCATGTATTTTTCAGCTAATAACATCTGAACCATGCCATGCGCCTTATGCCATTATAAATAATTTCATGTATCGTTTTTCTTCTAGCCTTCCTAACGAGAACTGGTTCAGAGCATCTTCATTTCAGTCAACATAACAGTGGACAATGTTTGACATCTATCTTTCAAACAAAATCGATGATGAAGACTTAATAGCTTATTTTATAAGGCTAATGTTTACAACCGAAACTGAACAGTCAAATATAATACAGAAACAAGATTGGGGAAGGTTAAAGGTCAGAAAAGAGTGTACAAATGATAAAAACATCCCTCATCAAAAACGTTAAACAATATAAATCTAAAAAGATTCAAAGAATAGCAAACAGACAAAGAGGGACAAAAGAAAGAGAGATGAGAGTGATTCACAATGACACAGGCGGTAAAACAGACTAGCGTGAGTTCAGTTCTACAAGCGCTAATTGAACTAGTCAAGCATGGAATTAATACTGCAAATGGCCCGCCATTAGTCCTTATTAGAGGCCTGACCTAAATTATATTTAAAGCCGTAAACTTTTGGGTGCATATGCTCTGTTTCATGCCTCTAAGCACAGTTTATTTCATTGTTCATTAAACTATTTCATACTTTTACCCTTATAAGTAGGATAAAAATGAGTAATTATTGAGAATCTTTCGAAATCTCTCAAAAACATGCCCGGGTTATTATTCCCAAAAAAAAAAGAAAGATTTATATTTAATTGCATTTTGCTTACAGAAACAATTCGAGGGGGATGATTGTCATGACATAATATGATAATGCAAAAAAAAAGGCTTTATGGAAAAACATTTGTTCCAGGTTTTTCCAGGTCACCCAGACATAATTTTATAATATTTGCCCATTTTTTTGCCATTAAATAAATGCAGGGACGCAACTGGAAAACTGGAGTTTAAAAGCCTTTGTTTGTTAAAACAATACATTAATGATATTCATTATATTTAGAGTTTTAGAATACATATAAACAACAAAACAGTTAAACAAGAATATATATATTAAGCATAAATATATAAGTAAAATATAATTGTATAAATCGCTCTTTTTTGGGAGGTTGACATGATCTGGACAGATTCCCAATAATTACTCTTATAATATATATATATATATATATACACACATTTTTATGTTTCAGAATTATCTGTGATTCATATTACAAATAATTTTTTTTATCAGAGACTGTGTCCCTTGTGGATTCTCTTTACAGACTGCGTTATCTGCATGTAGGAAGTGACGGCACAGCAAATAAGCTTTGTTAAATTGATGAAATACACACACACACACACACACACAGATCTGATCAGCTAGTCTCTATGGTGACCTGTTCATTTTAATAATATCTGTCGGGTTATAGAATACAGTGTTATTCGGCTCGCTTCAGACAGACATCTATAAGTGTCCTTCTGAACCGTAGTCTGGATAAAACACTCTCTCGAATCAGCACGCCGTGGACCCGCGGATCTCAAGCATGGAGAAGATTTTCCACGGACAATGGGAGTTAAGCCTATGTTCCTCTGGAAGAAAGAATTAACCCAGAAGTGAGATAGACCCGAGCCCCCGACGAGTAATGCGAGAGAACATCCACGAGCAGCCGAGAACACGTGTGTTTAAACACGAGACCAGCGAGGCTCCGAGGACACGCTAGCGCTCATCAGCGGAGCAATTAAACGCAGAGTCTGCATAATTACTTAATTACTCGGGCGAAGAGGAGGGAGGGAAAGCAGGATGAGAAATAGAGAGATAAAACGAAAGAGTGATGAACAACAACAAATGAAATAAACTTTTTTTTAAAATTAAATCTGACTAAGATGTCTTCATCTGGTCTTTCGCTGCCAATGATATCCCACAATCCTGTGCGTGTATTTCATTGGTTGATTTAAAGTATAAAAGGCACTTATGATAAAATTGTGCCTCATGTCATTCCAAATCCATACGACTTTATTTCTCTCATGGAGTTAAAAAGGAGAAGTTTAGCAGAATGTCCAGGCTGCACAAAAGAATATAGTGAATGGTGGATGACGACCAGCTCCCAAAAAGCACCATAAAAGTAGTCCATACAACTTATGCTTTATATTAAAAGTCTTTTGAATGCTTTTTTACATTCAACTTACTTTAGTGTGTAATGTTGCTGTTTGCAACACAGCTATACGCAACTTTCACTTTGACGCTTCAAAAAGTTCATAAAGAGATCGTAAAACTAATCCATGTGAATTGAGCGGTTTAGTCCATTTTCTGTAGAGACTCGATCGCTTTATATGATGAACAGATTTAATTTAGGCTTTTATTCACATTTAAACATTCATCAACTCACACATCAGGAAACTCAAGCATGTTCACTTAATGTGCGGGAACCAATGAGGTTCATCCTTGTGTTACGCATCACGTTTGAGCTTCTGTAAGAACCAATGAGGTTTGTTCTCACGTGTCAAGCAGGTTCGGTTGAGCTTCTGTTTATGTTCGCTGGCCAATGTTTATTTGTGAATTAAAGCCTAAATTCAATCTGTTCATCATATAAAGCGATCGAGTCTCTTCAGAAAATTTGGACAAAACCGCTCAATTCATATGGATTAGTTTTACGATCTCTTTATGAACTTTTTGAAGCATCTAAATGGTAGTTGTGTAGGGACAGAAATCTCTCAGATTTCATAAAAAAAATCTTCATTTGTGATCTGAAGATGAACGAAAGTCTTATGGGTTTGGAATGACATGAGGGTGAGTAAATGATAACATCATTTTTCTCATTCATTTCTAGGTGAACTATCCCTTTAAATAATTCCTGCCTAATTCATACACAGAATAAAGGGGCGGGGCCTGGTTGAGTTAGTTATTAGTGTGTTGAAACTGGCGGTTATAGTAAGGGGCGGGACATTTCCCAAACACGCTTAAAGTGCTTGACCAATCACAACACACTGCTCCAGCCGACCAATCAGAGCACAGTGTGCTTTTCAGAAGGAGGGGCTTCATAGAGACAGGAACTAAACAGAGCGTTACTGACAGACTGGAAGAGAGGAGCTGCAACAGTGGCAAATAATGAACATTAAAGCATGAAAACCTGTTCTAGGAGAGCCCAAAAACAAGACTTTTTACATTTCTTTAACACACAGACTCATAAAACACACAGGTTGTTGATCTCACCAGCAGGATCTCGATGCAGCCCAGGATGTACATGGCTCCAGCGTAGGTGGTGCCCAAGTAGAAGCAGATTCCTACAGCTCCACCAAACTCAGGGCCCAGAGAACGAGAGATCATGTAGTAGGAGCCGCCAGCTGTTAAAAACAGATGCATGATCACAAACAAAAAACCCTCTTAGGAAACGATATTATAGGATATTAACAAAGCATTCTGGTGTTGACAGCTCTGAAAAATAGCTCAATACAACCAACAATTACAACTTCCTGTTTCTTGGGAAATATTAAGCATGCTTATCAAGAGGCTTTTAGCACTATAGGGATAATAGCAGCCTATCGCTGATGAACAACGGATGGGGAACCAAACCTGGCAATTTCACCTCACCTCTGCTCTCCTCCAATCAGGAGATGAGATCAAGGGGGTCATTAGGACAGGCCACGCTCATCGAATTATGAATACATAAATATAGCTTTGAGGATTTTGCTGTCTGGTCATTGCTCGGAGTTGTTGTTGCTACGGTGACCGCTTCCTGTTTCCAAGGCGACCCACATGCACATGTTAAGCTCGAGCAGGCTTCGCTTACCTGGCACTACGCCGTTTGTGGCGATGGCACTCATGGAGATAGCAGTGAGCATCGTCTAGAAATAAAACACACAGAAGGACAGAAAAGCACTGTTGATTAGTTGACATTAAAACAGATTAAAAAGAACAATAACGCCAGGATGCTACATAACAACAACACCAACAAGGATATGATTCTGATACAACAAAATGATGCAATGCTTCCTAATTTCTGAAATTTGGACACGATTCAGTGTGATGCGATCTGATTATTAATAGATTTTGAGATTGTGTAAAAAATGACAAGAAAAGCTTGAGTCGAGATAGTGTCCTCACCTGTAAAAACAAACAAACATTCTGATTCATGAGCAAATGATTCCTATGAACTGGATCATTCAAAAAGACTCACCGAAGTAAATAGTTTGACTCAGTTCGATGAATCCTTCAATGAATGTTAATCAACATCTCTGAACTGTAGTTTATTATTATGGAATAAGACAAAAAGATAGAATGACAGATAGGCCTAGATAAAGCGATAGACGGACGGACGGACGGACGGACAGATAGATAGATAGATAGATAGACAGACAGATAGACAGAGAGACAGACAGATAGATAGATAGATAGATAGATAGATAGATAGATAGATAGATAGATAGATAGATAGATAGACAGAAAGATAGATAGTTAGATGAAAGACAGACTATAGATAGATATATAGATAGACAGACAGACAGACAGACAGATAAACAGACAGACAGACAGACGGACAGACAGATAAACAGACAGACAGACAGACAGACAGACAGATAAACAGACAGACAGACAGACGGACAGACAGATAGATAGATGGACAGACAGATAGATAGATAGATAGACAGACAGACAAACAGACAGACTATAGATAGATATATAGATAGACAGACAGACAGACAGATAGATAGATATATAGATAGACAGACAGACAGATAGATAGATAGACAGGCAGACAGAGACAGACAGACAGATAGATAGATAGACAGATAGCTAGACAGACAGACAGATAGACAGACAGAAAGATAGTTAGATAGATAGATAGACAGACAGACAGACAGACAGAAAGATAGATAGTTAGATGATAGACAGACAAACAGACTATAGATAGATAGACAGACTATAGATAGATAGACAGACAGACAGACAGACAGACAGAAAGATAGATAGATAGATAGATATAGATAGTAAAACAGGAGTCTTCTGTGAAAAGGAGGAAGGTGTTTAGTATTGATGGATAGTTGTGTCAGATCACCCTGATTAAAGCAATTTAGTAGACCCGAAAGTAGCAGAATAAATCTGATCTCGTTTGAAACCTCTTCTGTCTCCCTTTACGCTGCACTGCAATTGTAAAACGTCCTGGAGATTAAAGCCGTCTTTAAATCAGCACCGAACTGTCTCCACAAATGCAAATGTGTCTATTTCGGAAGAAAAGGGTACGAGCTGATGCTGTCAGACTGAGAGGAAAACAGCAGGACCCTGATGCTTCTTTAGAAAGTTACACAGAACATACAGACAGAAACAAATGAGTGTTTGAATCGATAGAGAGAGAGAGAGAGAGAGAGAGAGAGAGAGAGAGAGAGAGAGAGAGAGAGAGAGAGAGAGAGAGAGAGAGATATTACATCAATTGCTAGGTGGAAGAATCGTTTTCAGATGAACCTGCTTTTTTTGTTCATCATTATTTGCCTGAAAATCCCATTGAACCATTTTAAAATCACTATTCGCACATGGTGTCTCGTGGCTGATTGTTTTATTGAAAATATGTGAACATACGGCACTGATCTGAGCTGCTCTCCACATTCATTCACCTTATGCACCAGAGAAAGTGGGCGAGTTATTGTAGAGTTAACAAAAGTTATCATGAGCATTGTAATGTTTATCATAAGCATTGTAAAGCAGATGTCTTAACAAATGTCGACCGGGAATTTTTTTACCAGCAGTTCATTCATACCTATGCAAGATCGCTGTGAAAATACAGACCGGAAGTCAAAAGACAACGAGCGCAGCCGCAGCGCTGAAAAGGGGCGGGGCTACATAAGGTCTATACTCTTACTGTCTACCAATAGAGGGAATGCATTAACGTCACTTCCCCGCCGGAACACGCCCCCCTCAGCGGGACTGAGTGGCAGAAGAGCTGCTGCGTGACTGGAGTTAATAGGGGAAACTGCGGAAACGAGAGTAAAACAAACGATGGTTGGACTCGATATACAGACTGATCTCATGAAATGGCGTATGTATGACACGCCAATTCGTATTTTCATTTTTGGCGTGCTATCAACACGCATAATCGCTTTTCAGCGTGTTTATCAACGCCTTTGACTTAACGTTATATTACTGTATTATGTATATATAAATATATGACCTACCCCAACCCCGTCCCTAAACCTACCCGTCACTGGGGTTAATACCATTTATGAGTCTTCTCCTACCATCCTAGGAAAAGAAATATCGCTCCACAGATGTAGATATAGATTTTGCATCGTTTCGCTCGGACATTTAACGGCGTACACATACACGCGGAATCACTCGGACATTTAATGGCGTAGACATACACGCAAAAGATTTCGGCGTGGACATACACGCGGATACCTCAAAATGCGTATAGATAACACGCCACTTGAATTGAAAGATTGGTAGACAGAAAACATGATGTCATGTTGCGATATAAGTGTTCCTTACAATTTAGGCCTACCAAAAGATCCAGTGATCCATGGATATTGACACGCAGCCATTGTGTTTCCTGACATTTAACTTATATGTGCCTGATTTCGACGCTGGGGAAATACGTGAACGCTTTATATAAATACAATATAGGTAGGTCTAAATCCAGGTGATCACTCATATCAATGTTATATATAGGCTATAATCATATCGTCCAACCCTAAAACTAGTAGCCTATATTTTTTTTGTCATGACAACGCATGTGGTCATGTAAACACGGAAACCTGTTTTCTTTTATCGGAGTAGGGTCATAACCGGCTTAAGCATAAACCGGTCGACACGGGTAGTTTTTTGCCTCTTACTCGGATTTCGTATTATGTGAACGCATTAACCTGCTTTCTGCTTTTTTTTTCTCTTATCTCGTGCAGCAGAAGTAGAAGTGGTTCAGTCAAAACGCTGCATCTGTAACTGCATGAGAGGATAATATACCAGCTGTAAATTTCCCGCTGACATGTTGCAAGCTTTATTTAACATCAACCGACAAAACAAATGAAATACTCAGAGTCAGATATGCAAATGATTGTTTTGTCGTCACACAGCCTAAGGGTCATGGCCTGATTTATTAATAAAGTCATGTAAACACGGTTCTCTTACGAGAGTATCTCTCGTACTGCGTAATAGCTTACGCTAGGGGAAAAACTCTTTTCCGCGAGATATTGAAGCCAAAAATTATCCTTAATTTTTTATTAATGTAAAACGCTTTGCAGCAGCAAGCAGACATAGGCGAAACAGCTCGCGCGCCTATTGGTTGCTCTGCAGCAAATGCAGCAGCCTATCGAGAGAGACTCTGCGTGACGTAATGACCAATGGGGGCAATTCGCGCCCATATCGTCACGTCCCGCCAGAAGGGGCGTGGTCTCACCCTATAAATATGCTCGTTAGGCTGATACAAGCTGATTTTTACCTCTTCAGCGAAGCACACGCATCGCTGGATCCGGAGTGAGAAGCCGCGCCGTCGAAGCAAGCCTTTCAGCGGGACGAGCTCTGGAGTCGCTGGCCTCGCCGCCTTCAACTGCCGTACCTGCTGCGCTTTCCGGCGTTCTATATCCTTTCATACTCTGTGTGTATTTACTCTGTTGAGAGTGTTTGCTCGCTTACTTGACGCGACTCACACTTCTCTCAAAAAAAGAGCTGCGTCTTTTTAAAGATGCCTTCCTGTGGCTCGTGCCGCGCCCCGCTCAGCGATGGAGACCGGCACGTCATCTGTGTTTCCTGCCTGGGTGAGGATCACGCGGCTCTCGCGCTCGCTGACGGCGGATGCCCTCATTGCGAGCTTTTGCCCATGGTGACTCTGAGGACTCGCCTGGCATCATTCTCCGAGCCTTCACCGCAGCCCGCCGTGGTGCCGCGCTGCAAGAAGCGCCGCGCCCAGCGCGCTCCCGAGCTTTCTCCAGCCCGCCAAAGCTCGCCGGTTCGCCCGCCAGCTTCGCCGGCTTCGCTCGAGTCGCTCACTGACGGACAACGGCCGCCGCCTGCCGCCGCGTCCATCCACGAGTTTGACGAACCCACCGAGGCGTGTTCTCTTCTGGCATCCGATAGTGAGGATTGGGCGAGCTCCGTAGATCTCCCCTCCGGTAGCGTTTCCCGCCAGCCCACTGGTAAGAGAGCCGGCATTGAGACTGAGCTGATGCGTCTGCTCTCTCAGGCCGTGGAAAGCATCGGCCTCGATTGGGAGGCGCCCGCGCAACAGGCGAGCTCTGTGGACCTCCGCCTTCTGTCCGCGAGTCGTCAAGGAAACGGGCCAGCATCAAGACCGCGAGCCCTAAAACCGCGGCTAGCTTTCTTTACGTTATAAGAAATCTACCCCGCCCCCCAATGGGCGTGCGTCACCGGCAAATGAGAAAAGAGTGTTTTTTAGTCCCCGCCGAGGCCGGACTAATCTCCATTTCTTAAACATTTCTCAGCTCCTAGTTTGAGCGGCTGAAAATGTCATTATTGCAGCAATGAGCCTGTTGTATGACACGCACACATGCATACAAACGCCGACACACACAAAACTGTGATGACACTCTCTTATCTGCTTGCGCTAGTGTAGTTCTCCCTGTGGCCCAGTGGCAGAACCCTAAGCTTTCACGCGAGAGACCCGTGTTCGATCCCGGCTCTCGCAGCAGATAAAAATTTAGTCTCGCCGCGGCCAGACTTCCACCAAAAACTTTTCGCTCGTTCAGTTCCAGAAAATGCGACTGTTCCAGTGTATTTTGCAGTAAACAAGCTGGTACCACGGCCCGCTTGCCTGCACATAAAGGCCGTTTCCACGGCGACCTAGAAAAATCATGTGATCATTGTATTTCTGGTTTTCCGGCCACAGCCGATGGTGTTATAA